GCTTTGGACCGAGTAGGATCACTTCTGTCTTCTCCGGGTTGAGCAGTAGGAAGTTAAGAGTCATCCACATTTTAAGGTCCTTTATGCAGGCACTGAGCTTTTTCAATTGATCCGTCTGATTTGGTTTCATCGACATATAAAGCTGTGTGTCATCTGCATAGCAGTGGAAATTAATTCCATGCTTTTTAATGTTTCCTAATGGTAGCATATAGAGTGTTAAAAGAATCGGTCTGAGTTCCGATCCCTGGGGCACACCGAATTCCACTCTAGAGTAGGGTGACGAGTTTTGATTCACACTGACAAAAATAAATAGGATTTAAACCAGCCAAGGGCTGTTCCTCTAAGACCTATATCACATTCTAGCCTCTGCAGTAGAATGCTGTGGTCTATTGTGTCAAATGCAGCACTAAGGTCCAGTAGGACCAGCACTGACACTTGTCCATTATCAGCAGCTAGTAGTAAGTCATTTGTGACTTTGACTAGTGCTGTTTCAGTCTATGATGAGCTCTGAATCCTGATTGAAAGACTTCAAACATGTTATTTTCCTGCAGGTGGCAGCAAAGCTGTTCAGCTACAAGGTTTTCCAGGATTTTGGAAAGTAAGGTTTGGGATCGGTCTGTAGCTTGTAAGTAGAACCGTGGCTCTTTCTTTTTTTCACATTTTGAGAGCACCACTGCTGTTTGTTTGTGAATGTATTTTGATTTATTGTGTAGGGTCGCGCTCGAGCGTGGGGGGGGTTTGGGGGCTCTCATAGTGAGAACTGGATCAGTAATAAATAGCCAGTTCTGGGACAAATGCATGTTCTGTACCTATGCTTATCTCACCACGCTGATGTGACCATCTCCTCTCGCGACCTTTTAGCGTTGTAGCTCTGGTGTCTTGGAAGAGAGATGTAAATTGTTACAGATTGGTAGCCAGTACGAGGACCGCGGAGTTTCTGTATATCAACAACGTCAAACATTCCCCGCGCACACATGCATAAACTCCATTCTTACAACACTCCCCTCGCTCCCCTAAGCCCCTCACCTTAAGCCTCATTTACAATCCCTAAATATGGCGGACCCAGTCCAGAATATACTGGATGAGGATGGTGGAGTGGAAAATGCAGTAGAATGGAGTGAATGAATAATGACATGTGAAGCCTCTTTGAGTGTCCTGAAAAGCGCTATATAAAACCAATGCTTTATTATTATTATCAAAAAGTAAAATTTTTAGTAAGTAAGTATTCTTTATTTATAATTAAAGAAGAACAAGTCTATCCACTACATGCTGTCTTCATCTTAGCAGAAAACATGTTATCTTTTCTATACCTGTCAATCCGTTTCTGTGAGTTACTACACTTTGGGCTGAAAGTTGATCACTGAGTGACGGCCGTACTCACTTTTTCACTTTTCTGTTAGAAAAAGTTAATCTAAAGATGTGACAAGGCCAAAATACGTTTTTAAAGTCAGGTAGCCCAGCTTTAACCCCGCCACAATACTTTACATTTTGTATTTAAGCTTTTTTTCATTGCCTTGTGTATGAACTGAGCTATACAAATAATCTGTAAACTGTCTGTGTGCGTGAGAGCCGGACAGTTTGTGTGAGACAACATACACAGTAACATTACTTTACAGAAAAGGCATGTGTGTGAGTGTCACCAGAGGCACTCGTCAGAATCGCTGTGACAGAAGGACAGAAGGCAGCCTGCTTTAAAGACATTATATAATCTGTAAAGTTTATTGTATATGAGCTCTTTATACACTTTTACACACTGATCCCTTATTTAAAACAAAATCAATAACAACAAAAATATACACACAAATGATTGAATTGGAGTCTTAGTTGGAGATTTTTTTCTTTCTCAAAAGCTGATGAGTGGTTATAAATCTATCTTCAGTAAGTTTTTAATAAAGTGAAAATCTTGCTAAATGAGTCAAACTTGCATAGAATGTATATCTTAAAAATTGTATCGTTGAAAGGTTGCACAAAACATGGTCAAAATGTGTCATGTATTTTCATGATTTGGGAACATTGTCCAAAATTAATAAAACAATCACAATACGCTACTTCATGGAAATCAGTCACTCCAAACTCTGTGGCTGTGGTTGAAAGGCACGGTTTTATATAAAAAATAAGCTGAGTCAGTAAAAACAAACTTGATAATTTTCTACAAATGTGGAACAGGGTGCTTGCTCTTTTTCCAAATTAAAATTCCAGACTTTTTCCAGACTTTTTAAAAAGTGATATTTTTTTCTCCGAAGACCTTAGCAGTGACATCCCGAGAATCAAAAAAGCAAGCGTTGATTGGATATCATTCATTAGGCCCTGTTTATACTGAGACGCTGCGCAGACGTTTCCAGGCTATTAACAGAAACGACCAGGCTCCTAATGCAAATTTCTCTGCGTTCACATGAGGTTGAAAAACGATGTAGTTCTAGCGTCCGGCCATTAGTGGGCAGAGAAACTTTACAACACTCACACGACCCCCAGCCCCGTGCCCAGCCCCCCTCCCGGTAGTATACTCACTTCCTGTGCCAGACCCTCAGAACGCACCAACATCATTCTGCATTTTAACAGCAGCTGTGAAAATGGAAACTGAACCTAGAGCGTCGCGTGGTCTCGTTTGGACGAACGAAGGAGTAGAATTATCCTCTGTCCTGCGCTGGAAGCCCACGAAGCTAGTTAGTGTGACCGCCGCCATTGTTGTTTATGTTTGTTCTCCGCTACTGCGCATGTCCAAATTTACGTGTGGGGAGCAGCGGGGAGGTGGGGGTCAGAGCAGAGGGGGATTTCACACCTTTTCCCCTCTCGCGGGTGTGAAAGAGAGCCCCCGCTGTGCAGCGTTTCTGAGCTGTCCCATTTTGCAGGCTGGATCTCAACACTTACGTTTTCACCCACCTGGAACACAGTCTTTGTATGAACGCTTGGTAAAAACCGACATCCAACTATACCGTTTTACTGCCACATTTATTTATTTATTAGTTTATTTGACAGGGACAGTGTACATTAATGAACATTACTGTAAATGTACCAGAATTAGCCACAAGGCTATTTTCCATCCGTTGTCCCTGGACAGATTTAAAATGTCAACCTAAAAGCAAACACAACACTTGTATACAAAACAACAATGATAAAAACAGTGTACATTTACCATATATACAATTAGTTAAAAGTTAGTGTTGACAGGACTGTTTTGTAATGAACCATGATTTGAGATGAGTTTTGAACAGGTTGTATGAGGCCAGTTCTCTGATGTTTGATGGGACTGTGTTCCACTCCTGAGACGCCCTCACAGAGAAGGCACTCTGGCTGAAGGCGCTCTTCCGGAGTGGGATAACACAGTCCCCACGGGCGGCCCCCCTGGTTACCCTGTGTGTGGTGTTCCTGACTGTGATAAATTGATTGAGAGGAGGTGAAGATGAACCATGAATGATCTTGTAAATGAGACAGAGATTAGAGTATTTGATGACATTTGTCCAATTTAGAAGATGGTGTTTTTGTAAAATGGAACAGTGGTGAAATCTTTGTGGTTTTTTGTCCAGTATCTTGAGTGTTTGCTTGTATAAGGATTCTATTGGTTTTAGGGATGTTTTGTTTGCCTGTGACCATGTGGTTAAGCAGTATGTAATGTGAGACAGAACCATAGAAAACATGAATAATCTTGCGGACTGAAGTGATAAGTTGGATCTGATGAACCGGAAATTAGCTAGGTTGAATTTGACTTTATTGGAAATGTTTTTTTATGTGGGATTTGAATGTCAGCTTTGAGTCTATTGTTACTCCCAGATATTTGTATTCTGTCACGATTTGAATTTTTTGACCGGAAACTGAGATATTGATGTTATCATATGAGGTGTTGGATTTTGAGAAGAACATACCAACCGTTTTATTGACATTGAGCTTTAGGCAGCACTGATTTAACCAATTTGTGACATGAACCATAGACTGTGATAGTTTGTCGGCAGCTTGTGTGGGGTTTTTGGCGTGTATGTAAATTACTGTATCATCTGCGTACATTTGAACATTTGCATGCGGGCACACTGATGGAAGGTCGTTGATGTAAAGTGAAAAGAGTAGTGGGCCTAACATTGTCTCCGTGTAAACTCAGCTCACTCAATACAGTACGTGACCAGATAGTAAAATTAGTTTTTTGGCCTACCTTCTTATTTCTCCTTTCACAATGGCTTTGAGCATACTGTAATATTCTACCATACATTTTACAATACTTTATTAAGACTTTCACACAAAATTCAAGACTTTTCAAGGTCTGGAAAACAGTGTTTCAAAATTCCATACTTACAGTTTTTCTCTATTGCTTAAACACATTTCACGATACTGCCCTCCCTTTTCTCAAAACTCTAAACACAAACCTCTTTTCTAAAGCTACGTACACCCAACAACACAGTCTCTTTTCAAAACCGACCCATCACACCAAAACACCTCTCATGGTCTGCAAAAATGTGAACACTATGAGCATCATTAACCACTTCACCAAAACAATTGAAAGCACAATTTTCAGAATGTGAGACGGTTCTTTTTTACAGTTTCACAACTGCCAGGATGCCTTTGAGCAACACTTTTTTTATTCTCAAATATGTATTGGGAATTTACTATAGATTAAAAACGGTGCTGTTTAGCTGTGCATACAACTGAGGGATTTTATATTTTTATCTTTCGTTTTAATGTTCTGTGATTATTTATGATTTTAATGCTATCTTGTTCAGCACTTTGAGTTGCCTTGTGTATGAATTGTGCTATACAAATAAACTTGCCTTGCCTTGCCTTGCCTATAGATTTGTGAGTTTCATGAGAATAGTTACATAAAGCAGAAAATGCAGTTATATCACATCTCAATGCAAACATGAGTAACTCTATGGAGGATCCATGACACACAGTAGATACTACAGTAACGATTCAAAACACAATGTTTAGGGCAGTGCTTCTCAAATAGTGGGGGGACGTGGTGCGATGACGGGGCGCTATTTGGGGGAGCGCCAAATTGTGGGGGCGCCCCCCCCTCACAATTTGGGGGGAGCGCGCCTGACCGCAGGACACTTCTGTACGTGGAACTGTCATCATGTGACCAGTGCGGCCAAAGCGAGGTCATGTGACCACGTGACCAGCCCTCCTTGACCTGCTCCTCTCCCTCCTTGACCTGCTCCTCTCCCTCCTTGGCCTGCTCCTCTCCCTCCTTGGCCTGCTCCTCTCCCTCCTTGGCCTGCTCCTCTCCCTCCTTGGCCTGCTCCTCTCCCTCCTTGACCTGCTCCTCTCCCTCCTTGGCCTGCTCCTCTCCCTCAGCCTGCTCCTCTCCCTCCTTGACCTGCTCCTCTCCCTCCTTGGCCTGCTCCTCTCCCGCCTTGGCCTGCTCCTCTCCCTCCTTGGCCTGCTCCTCTCCCTCCTTGGCCTGCTCCTCTCCCTCCTTGACCTGCTCCTCTCCCTCCTTGGCCTGCTCCTCTCCCTCGGCCTGCTCCTCTCCCTCCTTGGCCTGCTCCTCTCCCTCCTTGGCCTGCTCCTCTCCCTCCTTGACCTGCTCCTCTCCCTCCTTGACCTGCTCCTCTCCCTCCTTGGCCTGCTCCTCTCCCTCCTTGGTCTGCTCCTCTCCCTCCTTGGCCTGCTCCTCTCCCTCCTTGGCCTCTTCTCTCTCTCCTTGGCCTGCTCCTCTCCCTCCTTGGCCTCTTCTCTCTCTCCTTGACCTGCTCCTCTCCCTCCTCTGACACAAACTCCTCTTCTTCTGCCTTGATCATCCATTGTCGTTTGGAACCTGCACTGACTTATAAAGTTGTGGTCACATCATTTGCAACAGTGGTTTTCAGTTCTGATGGTTGTGTTTTCTGAATGACACCAGGTATGTTCATTGTGTTCAGGTTTTGCTGACAGTGGGAGACATTTTTCATCACATGAGCCTCACAATGATTATAGGAGCAGAGATACATGCAAAAAGTGTTCTAGCAAAGGAAAAAAGTGTTTTAACAAAGGAAAAATGTGTTTTAGCAAAGGAAAAATGTGTTTAGAGTTTTGAGAAAAAGGGCATGTGTTTTGTGAACAGTGTCTACAGGAGAATTGTGTTTATGGTTGTGAGAAGTGGGGGGAAGTTTTAATAAATGTGTTTAGGCAATTGGTCATTTGGTTTAGAGTACTGGGTTTTGTGTTGTAGCAATAGAGAAAAACTGTATTAAGACTATCAAGACTTGCGCAAGAACCCTGTGCAATATTTTCTATGGCGTTCTTAGAAATGACAATATATCCGTTGATGGTTGGAATTATGATGCAAACTAAGGTATTTTCATTTGATTTGATTATTTGTGTATATTTTATTTTAGCCATTACTTCTATAGACATCAAAGCCATGTTGTGAAAGAGCCTTGTGTTTATTTTAGAAAAAAAAATGGAACATTTCGATAAATACATATCACAGTATGATATTTGTCCAAATTTGGGCAATCTAAAATCAAAATAAGCGATTAACAACCACACCAGCCATGTCATAAAATCCATGTTACTCAAAACAGTCCATCACTAGTTTTCAAATGTCTTTTTTTGGCCTATGTCGCATATTTAGATCAACTCTTTCAGAAAAAAACAGTGACATAGACAGTACCACCCTTACACAGCTACTCAGGATTGTTAAGGATTGTATAAAGATATAAATTGTCACATTGGTTCTACATGTATGGTTTTTTGGGTCCCACTTCTAAGCTACTGCAGCTTCCTGGTCAGTTCCCTTTTGCAAAACACCAACCAACTTTACAAATACACTGTGTACAATGTGTACGACTATGAAGTTTTGTAAACATAGAATTGAAGAAAGAATTGAATCAGCTCCCAGCATCAAACGGTAACTCACACACACTGCAAAACATGATCAGATATAAGGTCATAATGGCTTTAATTGAGTGGAGTTTTTTTTTATCTTTCTTAAAATGTGCCAATGATAAGCTTTTTTCAGTTGGATTTACAATTTATTTCTTGAGTTTCCCTGTCTCTTTGATAAAACAAGACATTTTTCTCCAACTAAGCTAAAGTCTGTCCAGCTCAAGCAATATTTACCTTATGTTTTGTCACTTTTTGCAGTGTAGGTCTCTTTCCTACAAGTATGCACCATTAGATTATAATATCTGATTTGGTCACAACATTTACTGTAACACAAAAAAATTAATTACAAGCGTCTTTTAAGTAAGTAAGTAATCCTTTTTTTTATTTATAGTGTTTTTTCTCAGACCAGAGTCACAAACCGCTTTACAATTGTTATTGTTATTGTTTTTGGGCATTTGTCTCTCACTCCACACAGAGATGGGAGCGGGGTCGCAGGAGGCGCATGCCAGACCTATTGTACATGTTTTTAAACCGGAGCACACGCAGACACGGGAATAACATGCAAACTCCACTCAGAAAGCTCCTATTCCGACCGGGATTCAAACCCAGGACCTTCTTGCTGAAAAGCGAAAGCGCTATCCACTCAGCCACCATGCCGCCCAATTTAATCATGAATCAGAATTATTGTAAGCATTCCAATGTGGTTTTACAGCAAATGGCAAATAAAATGAATCCGGGGAAAGAAGTTGCACACATTTCATATTTGATTCTTTCATATCACTGACAGAAATGTGAAAAACCGGCCGCTCCACTCAGTTCGCAGCCCAATACCTCCGCTAGTGCCTTAGAGATACAGATTTAAGATAAATTCAGCCTGTTGGCATCTGATTTGTTCACAGCCTTTAACTGTGGGGAAAAAAACAACACATTTATTTATGAAACAACACGAAAGTAAGGTATTCCACATTTTGTTTAGCACTGCTTTTAAAAAGATATGGTTTTTGGAGGGAGGGGGTTATAAGTAATCAGATAGTGAAAGGGGCCGGTGAAGCAGCAGCAGCAGCAGCAGAGAGAGCCCAACTTGTTTTTCTGGTTGTGGCGTCTCTCTGTAGTACGTAGACTCTAGTAAACAGAAGAACTCACCACTGTCGCATGTCGCATCTGAAGCCGGCGCATTCAAGGTACAGTGATGCATGGGCCGTTTGTTTCTGATGGTATACTTATGTGAAATATGCCCTGGGTCGTGTAAAGCCAGGATTTATGAATGGGCAAAAAATGATTCAAAGTCTAACATGTAAACATTGGCATACTAATGTTAGATGATTTGTAGGTTTTTGTCACAAAGGTTGAAATACTTTTTGAGTGGTTGTGTTTGGTGAATATTGCTCATTCATTTCTGTATTTCATCTTAAACTATGTAACCAATCCGTGTGAAGCTGCATTGTGGCTTTGGAAGTCTTATTTAAAAAGGCAGAAGTTTGGTTTTTCCTTTTGTTTTGACTCGTTGCTGTCTTCCTTGTAATGAAAAGCCGACTCGAGTCCTATCAACACAGCAGCCTTTCCCTCTGCCGTCCCGGGTTGTGAAAATGTCTTAATGTTTTATAGAGTATTATGGGCGTCTCACTTTGATCACCCCATAAAGAGTCCATAATGTTTGTCCCAACAGATATTTTTTGATGAATCCAGCCACAACATACTGTCTTTATCTCAGCTGTGAGTCACTATTGTCACATTATCTGTTTGAAAAATCTTGCCTAAAACATGTGACAGAGAAAAACTGATTTGAGAGCGAGGAACTGACTAGATGGATTTTACTTTATATTACATAGTTCAATTCTGTGGGTTTCAAAATATGGTAACCCAGCTTTAACGTAACCATCCAAAAAAATAAAAAATATGACACTAGTTGATAAATGAAAAATAGTTATTGGAAAAAAACACAATGCGGATTTCCTTGTGACTTTCTCTATTGGTAATGATGTGGAAAGTGAAATTGTAGTTATTTTTAATTGCAGCAGTGCATGAGGAGATTGTTTCTGCAGTTTCTGTCGGCTTTGGGGGATTGTGTCATCAGCAACATACCACACACACACAGACACACACACACACACAGAGACACACACACACACACACACACTGATAGTGGTTTTTCCTGTAGCTGAGCAGAGAGCAGAGTTTGCGCTCACACGGATAGATACCTGGCATTCTCCAGAGCAGCCGTGTGGAATGCAGAAACAGTTCATACCAGACCTGACTCAATCCAAAAGGAAAGCAGAAATGTTTTCAGGTGAAACAAAGTATCAATAGATGCGCCTTAAATGAACAAGTAATGGGTAGACTTGGAGCATTAGATTAGTGACAAGTGACAAAGTTTAAACATTTCCTCATTTGACATTGTTTTGCACAAACCAGAAAGCAGTTATGAAGACAAATTAAATGAAGGAAAATGATGGTCTTTATGGTATCAAATAAAAAATAGATGAATAAATAGAATGAAATGAGAGAATAACGTATGTCTGACTTCATAGATATTGTGTGCAACAAAGAATCTCTTTTTAATTTTTCAACCAGAAAGTCAAATACTAACCACAGAAATGTTGTATCAAAATGGAATTTTAGAAATGTAAAATGTTCACTGTTTTCAAGACAAATAGTGATTGAATATTGTGTCTTGTTCAGCAACACAAAAACAGATGACTGTTTACCTTTCACTGTTGTGTCAACGCACTTGTTATTTTTGATTTTACATTTTGAAATTAGATTGATGGACTCAATGTTCATTCTTGATTCTACAGTGAATAATTAGCCACACAAAGTTTCATTGGATCTATGGAGGTCTGATTTCCAATCTGTGTCCGGCAATAAAACAAGCAGATTGATCTCAGCCTCACATGGCGGCGGGGATGATGGCGTTGTGCCCATAGCTCTGCTGTGTTCTATCCAGTGGGGGCAGGTCCCGGCTCAAATGTGGCCAAAATGACGTGCGCTGATACCACCCCAGGCCGATGGGGGTGGACCCGGAATAAGAATTATTCAAGGCCAATGTAAAATATTAGCTGACCTCTCGAAAACTTCTTTACAGGATGGTCCAAAAGTTGGCTCTTGATCCAAAGCTCCGTTCCACATGTGTGTCAATGCTGAGGGGGGTGAATTTTTTTGGACCTGTCTAGTTTAGTCGCTATGAATTTTTTAAGGCACTTGTTAAATGAATGGGGCTCGTGCCGGCTGACACCTGCGCAGATGCGTTTTTTTTCACATTTTCCAGCCCCCGCGGCCATTTTGAAGTGTGATGGCACATTAGCTAGAATGGCGGAGATAGGCGCGTCCGTTAATATGTACAGTCTATAGTTCTATCCGGTGCACACTTGGGTTGTCTTGCACAGTTATTCCAATGTGGTTTACTGCAAATGGCAAATAAAATACATTTTGAATCTTAAACGTGTGAGATTTTGACTTGAGGTGTAAAATGAATGAAAAAGACTCATACATACCCACTTCTTCTCAATATGTCACTTATGTCCAGTAAGTAAGTGAGTAATCTTTATTTAAATACAGCCTTTTCACTGCACATCGGAGTCTCAAAGTGGTTTACAATTGTTATTTTTGGGAGTGGGGGTGGCAGTACAGGAGGCACATGCCAGACCTATTGTACATATTTTTAGTGGTAGGGGAAACCGGAGCACCCGGAGGAAACCTACGCAGACACGGGGAGAACATGCAAACTCCACTCAGAAAGGCCCTGATCCAACCAGGATTCGAACCCAGGACCTTCTTGCTGAGAGGCGAGAGTGCTATCCACTCAGCCACCGTGCCGCCCGTCCAGATGTCGTACGCGCCGCCGGTGGCCCCCAGGAAGGCTTCAGTGCGGGTCATGCTGAGCCCAGGTGACCAGTCCCTGCCTGGAGTCCTGCCCATGTACCGAGACCCAGCCAAAGGTACAAGAGCAGCTGAAAGCATTATTCTGGTGAATACAACACGTCTCATGTGTGTGCGCAGACAACCACCCCGGACCCACCAACAACAACGGGCAGTCCTCCGTGAACCCAGAGAGAGAAATTGTATGTATTTGTTCTTTGCAAACATTTCAAATATATCAGTTTATTACAAATACTAAATAAAGCATGCTACATTCATTCGTAAATGGGACACACTTGAAGCTTGAGACATCGAAATATTCTCTTGATAATAGATTATAAAAACAGTTGCAAGTGAGTGGAATGATAAAGCCATTAACCCATTTCTTTGTCCTTTGAAATAGTAATTTTAAATGTGAAATAATAACAAAGTTGTAACAAAAGTCAATTTTCCATAATATGTCTCTTTTCAAATAAGATGTGTGAGTAGAATTTTCTTTTGCACGGGTTTAACCTGGTTTAAAGTTTACAGTTTCCAGATCACTTCTGGGCTTATCCACCTGAAACTGCTTCAAACAAGTTGCTTTTTGTGGCATTAGAAGGTTGGGTCAAATGCAGGGGACTAATTGGTTAAAATCTACAATATCGTCAGCACTTACTCAAAACAAAAGTGTGATTCAAGACAGGAAAGTTTTTCATATATGTCTTGTGTGTTTAGGAAATTCTGAATCACTGTTTTGACGACATCGAGAGATTCATGGCGCGTCTCCAGCAAACGGCCGAGGCCCAGAGTGTCCTGAACCAGAGGAAGAAAAAGAGGAGGAGCAAGAAGAAGAAGGAGAAGGAGGGTGAGCTGGGCCTCCTGTGATCTGGTCAAACATGTATCTGACAATATTTTATGTCTTTGTGTGATTCTTCTTTGTGCAGACGACCTGTTGACCGTGAAGGCTGTTCCACCACCAGAAGAGGAGTTTGTGGACATCTACCAGAAGTTGAAGTACTCCTTCAGTCTGCTGGTAAAAACAGTTATGGCTTTACTCATATGAATCATTCTTTTTTTATTCTTTTTATTTTGTGCCTGTGAAGCACTCTGGGCAGCTGGTGTTGTTGTAGATGTGGTAAACAAATAAATTTGACATCGACATTGACATTGACAATCGTATACACAATATTATGTTTGGCGCAAAAATCACACTGCTCATCACCCTCAGTGCATCATCCCCAGTCTGGAATAAAGGGGTGGCAGCATCCTGCTATAGGTCTGTATCTCTATTGAGTGGTTCTCAATTGGAGCAATATCAGATCCCCACCAACAAAACTTTGAACTGCTGTGATAATATACATATTCTCAAACTTTCTGGATAAAATTAAAATAAAAGTGACTCAGGTGCATGGAACTATCCGCAGATTCTGATCCACAGACCTCAGGGCCCGAGTGGCCCCCACTCATAAGGCTGGATCTGAACGCTGATGTAAGCAGGAGTTTCAATGTAATTTTTAGTGGATTCATTAGAAGCTATAGATATCCTAAAAATTCCACAAATACACAGACAGTAACTAAACAATAAGTAACCATTTCCACAAAAATCACTGTAAATTACTGTGATTTTAAAAAAATTGTTGAAGAGCAGTGAAGAACGGTATAAGACACCATTTACTGTAATGTTTAACACCATTTTACGGCATCCACAGGACCGCCTCAAAACAGCATTATCTGAGCCCGGTGCCGCGGAGCTCCTGCATCACACCTTTGTCCCTCTCAAACTGGTACTCTGAATACTTTTCACGTTCTCGATCTGTCCTTGGCCTCGGCCGTGCTGACTGACCTGCTGTCCCACAGATGGTCAGGACCACTGGGGTGGAGCTGGGGGGCTCCGTGGTCAGTCCAGCGTTGACCTCTGGGGCCGTGTCTCTGCTTCAGGACCAGCTCACTGCAGAGGAGAGGGAGCTGTGGATGTCACTGGGACACAACTGGACCTCAACCCGGTCAGTGCCAGGACTTTGACCCCTTTTCTCGAAAACAGAATGACTGCATATTCATAATGATAATTATTACAGCTAACTTCTGTGGTTCAATCAAGAGACTCCCCAAACCTGTAGTGCTCTGCCAGTAGGTTTTAGAATACAGTAATGAACACAGTAATGAAGGCTGTTGCCAAAGTGCTTCACAATTTAAACAAAATACTTTTATCTTGAAAAAAAATATCCTCAAATATTTTATATGACAGGAAGCCATGACACACACAAGAAAAGAAGTCAAAATGATTTGAGTGACTTCTTCTAGTTTTTAAACATGTAACAAAATGGTGACCTCATCAAAACAGAGCTGCAGTTGCATTTTTGTCATCATTTCCTTTCACATCACAGGTCACAGCTTGGCGTCTCTGTTCCTCCGTACTATCCAGTGTTTCTGGACGGCTGGCAGCCTTCTGGGGGGCTGCTGCAAGACCCCATCGAGGCCCAGCACAAAGAGGACGCCCTCAGTGGGAGTCTGGCGGCCCAGAGAACTCAGGCCACTGCTTCACCCACAGAGGGGTCAGTGAACACTGAGAGCACGTGAGTGACAGGGTGAAAACAAGTTAGCTACAAATATCCCCTGTGGTCAGACATTCTTTATAGAAACTAGAAGGAAAGAATTCTGAAATGTCTTCTGAACAGAAAGATCCAGTGTCAATCAGGTAAAGAAATAGATTAGAATGTGAATTATAATGTTACCACAGATGGAGGAGGAGAATTTTATTTTTATTTTTTTTCCAAACTTGAAAATGATCATCTGCGACCACAGCCATGTGACTGTAAAGAACGTCATTTCACCTGATGAATTTCCAAAACTATTTTATGGGCAGTAAATGAGCGTGATGTCATAGTGGTACAATGACATCATACTGTTACAGGACTGAGACAGAAGGGGCGGAGTTACATGTTTGTGCTAAGTTCCTGAAATTAACAGAATGGATCCAAAAACTCCAATAAATACTCTTTATTTATCCCTGTAGGGAGCTGTCCTCTGCATTTGACCCATCCTGTAATGCCACTAGGCTAGGGCCTCTGTCAGGAGCTGTGGTCGCCGTATTGGAGCGCCCGGGGCCTACAGCGCCCGGGGCCTACAGCGCCTGGGGCCTACAGCGCCCGGGGCCTACAGCGCCCGGGGCCTACAGCGCCCGGGGCCTACAGCGCCCGGGGCCCACAGCGCCCGGGGCCCACAGCGCCCGGGGCCCACAGTTATAGATGCTGATGCTCGGTTTGGTCAGAACAAGCTGAGCTGAAGGATTTTCACACATTATTTTAGGATTTTATCTCTAGGTCTGTGTTGAATGAGGGAACAATGTTGTATTGAGCAAAACTTCATTCAAACATGAAATATTCTGAAAAAGGGATATTCCAAATGTAGGGAGATAACTTTGAAAACTTTAAAATGCTTTTACAAATTCCTAATAAAAGTATTTTAGATGAAAATGATATAAGTGCCCATGCATATTTTTTTACACACAGTGTTTTTACAGAGGTGAAAACGGTTTGACGGACGAGAAGAGACTTTACTGCTGCAGTTACGACTTTGTGGCTCGAAACAGCAGTGAGCTGTCCGTCCTGCAGGGGGAGACATTAGAGGTACCACGAGCAAAACATCCCATAATAACCTAGTCCTGGCATATTCTGTTTGTGTCTGCTTTTTTACATTTGTGCTAGAAAGTTTATAAGCCCAGCCAGAGACTCCACCCAACCGGAGATGGTCGTCATATTTTTTTATAGTCATAAATGATAACACAAAACGTTTTTAATATGTTTTTTTTTCTCCATATGATTGTGTATTTTGGGCTGTTCTGCTGTGTATGCACTACAGCCAGAGGAGGTATAGCCACTTAATGCATTGATCCTCCTTCAGCTGCCATGCTGGTTGTAAATTGGAACATGTTTTAGCCGATCTGGGGAGTTCGCAAACCTGCAGTTCATGCAAGGCTGCTTTACTTTACCATCAGAGAAGATACAGAACTTCATCCACAACGACCACAAAAGACAAAGATTTAAGTAGATGTTAAAGCGCAAAACATTGAGAAGGTTAGGGATGGAGACTTTAGGGTCAGAGGAGGCGTTTCTGTCGTGGTTATAATTTGAATACATTTGTTCATTTCACGATAAATGACAACTCACAACCACTAACAGTGAGGGAAAAAACTAGCAATCTCTGAAATATGGCTCAAAGAACTCTCAAAATTTCTGCCCAACAGTATTTTCACTTTCACTGCAGGTGATCGAGTCGTCCAAGCACTGGTGGAAGTGTCGTAATCGTTTCGACCAAATCGGTTTCGTTCCACATAACATCCTGGAGCCTTTGTCTGAACTAAACAAGACTGAAGAGCGTGCCACGGTGGTGCGCAAGGAAACAAAGGTACAGCCACTACAGATATATATGAGTGCTTGGGACGGGTGCATTTTTCTAGTTATGACTTTTTTAATGAGACAGAATGTGTTGGAATACTCTCTAACAATTGTGTGCCAGTCAAGCCATTTTGTGATAAAAAAAAAAACAAACAAAAACAAATTGAAATTAGATTAGGCTAAGTCAGTAATTCACACAAAGTCAAAACAAATTCCGTAGACAATTTAGAAACTCCAATTCAAGTTAATGATGTCAACAACTTAAAGGAGCTATTCCCGATTCGGCAAGTACAATAACTGAAAAATTACCAATCAAGTAGAATAACCGCCAGTTTTGTGTCCACATCTAGTCTGAGGCTGGAGAGACTCCCGCAGGTCTCTACGTATGTTCACCCGGGCTTGATTTCTTCTTTGATCATTTTTTCGCTTTAGTTCCCTCTTCTCCTCCTCACTTTTGCGTCGTTTGGGCTGTTTTGCTGTGTCTGCAGTTACAGCCAGAGGAGTTATAGCCACTTCCTGCTGCCAAACTGTTGGAGGCGTGGCCTATTTGCAACAGCGCTGCTCCCTGTTGTGCAAGTGGAGGAGAACTAGCGAACTTTGGATGAATTCATATACAAGCTGAATCAATGAGCTCAATGTTCCAGTTGTTTTAATAGAACTTGTATGTAATAATACACATTTGTATGAACTCATGAGAAAATAAATCAAGTATAGCTCCTTTAAATGTTTTCATTTTTATGTATATTTCTTACCATGGGACACAGAATTTTTTACTTCCTTCTCCTTGGTATAACTACGACCAAGATTTTCTGTATTTTTATCAATTCAATCAGGCAGCTGCAGAGGTGAGCGTGGGCGGGTCTAACCCATGGTCTAATCATCGAGATTCACTTTAAGGTGGTGCTGTGTCCTGTTTCAGCCCAAGCCCATATAAACTTTGTGGATGTTTTGTATACAGTATATCGACATCAGATCTGTGTAGTGTGTAAATGTTTTTTTCTATCCTGCCAACCATGTGCACCATGGAGATTCAAATGAAAGGGACAGAAATGGTTTCTGAGGAGTTTTATTGTTTTACCTGGAAATGGCACGAGACCAATAAAAACTAAACAAGCACTTTACCACTGCTTCTTGAAACAGTTTATGGGACCTCCTTTAAAGGTATGAAGGATGATTTTGTACCTCTGGGTGGATCATCTGAACTATGGTCCTCCTAATTGTCAATCATTCTGGTGATATTTGAGACACTTTTTAATAGGCGTTCCCTCTGAGGAGGGAAGTTCTTTCCTAAAATTCAGGAAAATCCTCCTGTATATCTTTAATGTTCTTAAACCGTGGTTTATTTGTTTTCTTGCAGACAGCCCTGGTCCCCCGCTCCAAGTACTACTCGTATGTCCCCACGAGTGCAGTAGAGAGTATTTCAACGTCTGAGAACCTCCCAGTCCGACCACACAGCATGTTGTTGCCCCCCTCAATGTCACAGGCAGAAGACAGAAGCAGAAGTAACAGCAATGTAGACAACTCACATAGACTTAGATCATACACACATTATATATATACATTATATATACACATATACATATATATATTACATATAAAAAATGTTGTGCTTGGGGTTATTACCCTAATGACCTCTGGTCCTGTGCAAAGTCATTATCCCCAAGGACCATTTAAGCAAAAATCTAAATGAAAAGTTCAAAGCCAAAAGGCCTTCAACAAGAATTTGAAAGTAATTCCCATTTTTATTTATATAAGTATCTAAAGAGTCAAGCAATCCACAAGAGTATTAGTTTGGAGGTAACATGTATGTCTTTGGCTTGAACTTATACATAAATAATAAACATACTTGATGGCGATAGAAGATTATGGTCAAACAAACAAACATTTCTATGGAAACAAGCAGGAAAGCCTCCAGGCTGAGTGTGATCCATTTTTACATAATACATCATGTAACAAGCAAACACAATAAACATACTTTTATTTTGTTTGTATTTAGTTTAGATATATAGTATTCCATTATCCCTGTAGCGTTAGCATTAAAACAGTGTCTGGTTAAAAACACAAGAACAATTGATTATGAAACCTAATATTCGCTCGTACCTGATATCGGGGTGTTTCTGTGAATATCCTGACCCCTGCTGGACTCTTTGGTTGTGTGCAGTGTTGATAGTGAATGATGAGCTGCTGGAGAGGCTGGCGAGTCGGAGGGAATCCATGCGCCCCCTGGTGGTCTCCAAAGCTGCAGACACCCCCTGCCCCCTGGACTACCACTCCCCCGCCCCAGAGGTGAAGGCCTGGCTGAACACCAAGGGCTTCACAGAGCAGTAAGTGGACAGGGCCAGGATAATGTCGACTACATCACAGTGACCAGTGAATAGTGCATTTCTCTAAATTAAATAAACCAATAGCAGTATAGCAACATCGTGAAGCTCTTTGGCTGACCTTGGTCTTCCTGAAAATGTGAGACAGGCCTCCTCTCTGACAATGTTTAAAAACAGGTTAAAAACAGTTCTGTTTAGCTGTGCATACAACTGAGAGATTTTATATTTTTATCTTTCTTTTTAATGTACTTTGATTATTTATGATTTTAATGCTGTTTTGTCTTGTTCAGCACTTTGAGTGGACTGAATGAATTGTGCTGTAACTTTCCTTGCCTACCTTGGTCTGTATAATGCGCTATAATAATAAACATTACTTACTAAGATAAGATAAGATAAAATATATTCCTTTATTTGTCCCACAGTGGGAACATTTCAATGTCATGTTTGCACATTACAGCCGAAAAAGAAGGAAATAAGAGCCCACAGATTGCACACATCAAACAGCATCTATTATATATATCTATTATATATTATATTGGATGGATTGTTCTGTGGACTGTAAACCCTAACTTTAATCTTAAAATATCAAAGTTATTTTAAACAGATTTTTTGGTAAGTAAATATTACTTGTTTATGTTAATTTATTTCTTTGAACTGAGCTGTCTCTGTTCAAGTAAGCCGCACTTCTGATATTTTGAACATGTACTGTGTTGAAAATGTGGGTAGCACTTTGCTTCTCGTCAAGAAGATTCTGAGTTAGAATCCCATTCGGATCAGGACCTTTTTGATATATGTATAAGCTGAAATTACAGTCAAACTTTATTGCAATCAAGTATACTTTTCTTGCCAGAGTTTACAGTGTGGGTTATTTGAGGTGGATCCTGGGCCTGGGTTTGTTGGGACGGGGATGGGACAATGTTTTTAACCTATAAAGCATTATGTGTTACTATACTGCATGAAAAGTGTGAATGATTGACTGATATTAGTTAGAATAGATCCAACTTCAGGTCAAAAAATAATATGTTCCTTAAATTGAAATAATAAATAATGATAATCTAAGACGCTTCAACGGTTTACAATTCATTCCAAAAGACCATGACATCATTCAGCTAGTGCCAGCCTCAGTACACTGAGTTCATGTCATATCATGTCATTTTCTATCCCTTTATTTAATCCATTTCTGGGTCGGGGGGTTGGCGATCAGAGCTGCTACCCAAGTCTCATTGCACCAGTCCCTCGCTGATCGTCCTGCAAGTGGTGGGTCCACAGGAAGATGGCTTCTCTGTCATCAATGAGATGGTCTTTCAGCGGGGGCTTCAGGCAATGTGGGGTTAAGTGTCTTGCCTAGGGACACAATGTCAGCAGACATCAGTGGGAGCAGGTGACATGGGTCGTGGTGGGTTCGAACCCACAACCATTAGGTCTAAAGACCAACTGAGCTAGTGTCGCCCCTCATTGTCGCATTTAGTTCAGTTGTAGACAATAGACAAAATAGACAATATTTAGTGTCCTGTCTACATTTTTGTCCGTTAAACCCTCATCATCACTGACATCATTGGTCAGAATGTCAGAATGTTGAGATAAAATCCCTTTGATAGATACAATTCAAAATTCATTTTTAAAACTCATTAAACAAGAAGCTGAAGTTGCCTGTTCATAAGTTTAGTTCATGTTGTTTTTCTCACCAGGACAGTTGAGATCCTGGGCATTCTGAGCGGAGCGCAGCTGTTTTCTCTCAACAAGCAGGAACTGTGCATCGTGTCGCCACAAGAGGGCGCCAGAGTCTACAGCCAGATCCTGGTTCAGAAGGCTCTGCTGGAGGTGACTTTTTACTTGGACTTTTTTATATAGACAGCTCTACTCAGGTTATTCTATTGATTACAAAGTGTGTCTTGGTTTAGGATGTGCGGAAAGCCTCTGAACTGGAAACAGCCATGGAGAAACAGAAGCTGAAGATCGGTACGGCAGAAGAGGGCCAAGTTTGAGGCAGAATGAAGAAAGAATATTCATTATTATACTGTGAAATGAGATTGTCTGGAGCCACATTTGATAAGAGTTGGTTTGATGTAATATTCTCAGCTGGTGTTTTTCAGATCAATAAAATCCATCAAAGTTCTGAAGAGCACGACACAGGACTTTAATGTTCACCAAAACACTACATTCATTGGATTCAGAAAACAACAATAATAATGTTTATTATTTTAATACAATGAATGTGTAGATATGACAGTCACAGATTGTTAAAGAACAGATTGTCATGAAAGAAAAAGAAACAGAAATGTTGAACCTTCAGTAAAGTTTGAGACAGGTTTTTCCAGTTGACTTTGTTTGGTGGAATACTCGTGGTAAAATACTTTTTTCCTAATCCCATGCCCTGGATTCAGATTATGAAAGGTTTAAAACACATTTAATTCAAAGCAGACATCTTATTAAACCCTGTTACAACATTGTTCCTGAAGAGAGACAGGGAAGACCATTATTCACCCGTGATACTTCTTTCACCATGTGTATATTTTCACATTCTAAAACATGAAATGGCAAAGTAAACAGAATCATTATTATTTGACAAAATACGTAATATTGATTCTTTAACTGTTCCGTCAGATTTACTAAAACGACCAATGTTTATCACACTCACAATATTTACATATGAAAAAGAATAGCAACATTTTAGAAAAGAAAATGATTAAATGAAAAGTGTGACTTGTCAGAGGCACTTGGACATATTGCCACAGTTAACACAAAATCACCTTTCCATATTCAACATACCATAGACCAACACAAACGTGAAGCCTGACACGGCTCCAGCTCCAAACAGCACATGTATAAAGTTCATGCAATAAACATGTTTCTAAAAAGTTAATTGGCTCAAAGAAAGTATGTTGATGCAGGAGGCAGATCGTCTTCACAGTTCACTGGTCACGCTCTTGTCGATGCAGTCCCAGCTCAGGAGGTCCTGTCCATCAAACCAAAGGCGGATCTCTCTTTGGGCGCCCTCTGTGGAGTCGCTGGCGTGGACCACGTTACTGCAAATTATTGCTATTTTATTATTTAATTATAATATTACTATTACTATATCTATTTATATATGTTTGTTATTAGATTTGCAGAGTATCATTGTGCGTGTGTGTGCTGCCCTCTTGTGGCTATGATTAGAAGTGAAAAATATAAAAAAGGAATCATCTTGGAGCATGTGATGAGATCTTCACTGATTTCATGATGCAATAGTTTGAGTTGTTTGGGCCTGTAACATGTCTTTACAAGTAGCACAATGAACTCACCGGCTGACATGGAAACAGAAATCTGCGCGGATGGTGCCGGTTTGAGCCTCCGATGGGTTTGTGTGCCCCACCATCATTCTGGATGTTTGCACTATGTTAGGACCCTCCCACACCTGAGTGACACATTACAATACATCACACACACACACACACACACACACATGCAAAAAGACCATTTTCAGCCTCCAATGTTGTTAAATTTCCTTGCAATACAAATACATATTTAACACTGCATGAAAAGTTAGATTTTCGTCACCCTAAACTGCAGGAAATCACGCTCTTTTTCGGGTATCTCAGGCAGTTTTCAGAAGGCGCAGTTAGGGTGCCCTGTCCTCCAAACTGCCGTATCCGTACCATGCTAATGTCCCTACTTTGCATATGAATGCAGCGAAACACTGCGACCGGTGGAGCGCTAATGGCCCTAATTAGCATATGAATGCAGCGGCTGGCCAGGCTGCTATTCAGCATTGGTGAATACCACTACTTTCAAACTCGTGATTGGCTGAAAAATCACACGTGGCCAGCCCACGTGGGATTACTCCCCATTGGTAGCTTACTCCCCATTGGATGAAATCACTACTTTCAAATAAGTATAATCTCTCGTGATTGGCTGGCAGATCTGTCACTATTGGTCACCCTGCCTCATAATTAATGTAATAATATTTATATAAATATTCGTATTATTTATAGAAGAAATGAAAATTTTCCAGGAATATGTTCATACAAAGAAAGCTTTATTAAAACACACACACACACACAGCTTTATGCTCACACATAGGTAATTAAAAAATTACAACTCTGAACTGTCCAATAGCCTCCTCTGGGTTGTAATTCTGCAGCGTTCTAGAGAGACGCTTAATGTGCGTGGCTCTGTACTTCCGCACCGCCTCTAACCGGTACTGCAGCTTGACAGAGTTCAGAAAACTCCGGCTTTCGAAAAGACGGCGACCGCACAATCCATCCAGAGACACCGTCCACAACGCCTTCTTCTTCATTGGACATTAGGTCTACCGTGGCGGACTTCCAGAGTTCCACTTTGTCACTTTCTAGCACACTCGGTCTCGATTCCAGCGGCTGAAAGAATCAGTAAATATTATTAGCCAAATCAAATCCTTTTTCCCCATCTAAACATAGTGTCTAAAGCAGACCTGGAGATTCTTATCCATGCATTAGTCTCCAGTAGGTTAGACTACTGTGCCACAACAGCTGCAGTACATTCAAAATGCAGCAGCTCAAGTCCTGACCAGAACCAGGAAGTACGATGGCAAGGCAAGTTTATTTGTCTAGCACAATTCATACACAATGCAACTCGAAGTGCTGAGCAAAATAAGAAAGCATTAAAATAAATAATCACAGTACATTAACAAAGATAAATATAAAATACCTCAGTTGTAGCACAGCTAAAGCTCCTCTCTGACAATGTTTAAAACCAGGTTAAAGGGAGAAACAGTAAAACACACAATGTCGTCTTTATCAACATCGTGGAAATGTGGACTTATTGTTCACATTGTATTGCAGATATTGTGTTAAGCAAATAGGAGGTCACCGTCTCATTACAAGGCGAGATTAGTCTGAAAACAAAGTGTACAGTTATAATTGTTATCTATACATATCCATTACCGACACAAAACGTGTAGGTAAACCAAATTCAATTTCCATGGATACATTAACAATACTTACATAACCTTTTTGAGAAAATGGATCCTTCAATGAAAAAAGTGTGATAATTCTAAGAGCATAGCTTTTTTTGTTTTCGGGAAGGCATTTGTCTAAGGAGAAAAAAACACTCATGGTCAAAGGACTTCATGGTTACATAAAAAGGCTAAATTAATAGTATCTACAAGTACATATTTTCACAGGGACCTAACCAAGAGATAATCTACAGGAGAACATCTACCTAGGTCATTTATAAAAGAGATCAGTACTATTTATCTTACAATGGGGAATCAATAACAGTGCTGAGAGAAACTGAATTGTTATGTGATTATTGTGAAAGGTCTTTCAAGTGATTTTCATTTTATTTTGAGTAAATATCCTTCCACTTGTAAGAAGGAACTTTTGAGTATTAACTGAGGGATACAACATACCCATGTGTTTCACTCATGTCACTGACGAGAAGGTCGACAAGTTGTCTTCGAGAGCGGTGACTTAGTGATCTCACAGAATTATAATCTTTAAGGATCTCTCGGTCACCAGGGTTTTCCTGCAGTTCCACCATCTACAAACACGTGAAAAATGTAAAATGACAATCTACAATTGTACCAAAAATCTTAGGATACAAAATGCAGCAGTACCTCTTTTGATGTGTACCTTTCTCCTTTCCCCATCTCCTCTGCTGTACATATGTGCATTTCAACACCAAACACAATCATATGTCATTTCTTTTTGTTATTGCTTTATGAACTTACACAGGAATCGAGGTGCCGGACAATCTTGGAAAGCTTAGCGCCAGCAGACCCCCTTTTGGCCTTAAAGAGCTTGATGAACTGTGTCGTTAGGCAATCCAATGCTTCAACGAAATCATTGCCCAGTTTGGAGCTGGTGATCTGGTTAAATTCTGCCAGGACCTGCAAAAAAAACAACATAAAACACTTCAAGTTAAATGCATAGATGTAAAAAATGTGTACACACCTGTCTCTCTGTATGAAGTGCTGGCCAGCGCGCTTTGACATTTTCCACAGGTGGGGCAGAATTGACTATTTCTTGTTGTCGGACTGCAACACGCTGTAAGCAAAAAAAGAATAATCAATATATATAAAACAATATCACATGATTTTTGCTCAAATGTGTTTAAAGGAGGTCTAGATTCACTCAATAACATTATTAAGCAATGGACTTAATAAAAAAAATAAAAAAAAATGAACAGAAAGACAACAGTGACAAATGAGATGAAAAAGTACAGTAATAAAAGTGAAAGTCTTAGCGCTCAAACAAAGACAGGAACAGTGCAAAACAAATGATATATGTTAGATATTCCACAGTCTCCTGTATATCAGGCTCTGCCATGAGCCCAAACTGCTTTTCCTTCGGTTCTTTCGAAGCAGTCTGCTCTGTGCGCCTCGTCCCTGCTCCTGCAGCAGTTCCATGCTTTACAGAAAGTTATCACACACGGAGCAATCACATATATGTTTTGGTTGTGTAAAGAGAGTGATGATAACACCAACAACCGTTTGTGTATATACTGGTCCAAGTGCTCGTGGGTCCTCCGGTATGATACTCCGTCTGGTTGGGAGGCCACCAGCAGACTGAAGTCGTCTGCCAATGATTTGTGTCTGAAGGTCAGGAATGTAGTTGTAATCCTTTGCTTCTTTGACAGTGTGTACCCGATACCGTTTCGATTTTTTGCTGTACAGTCTCTTTAGGCTACAAGATAAGTAATTTCACGTTAGAAGACAACTATATTTATGACTTGTCAATAGGAAGTAGTGAATGATACTTACGACACTTGGCCTTTGCTGTACACATGTGCCGGACGGCTGTTGTGGTGATTGTAGTCCAAAGCTGCGAGAAGTGTTCTTGCTTCATAAACAAAAAATGAAAAAGCAAACCGCTTTCCGGCATACATCAGAATATGGTTTTGGAATGATTCCAGCTGTGAGGTGGTCCTACAGGGAAAGTAAGTAGGAAATAGAAGAAACACAAATCATTCAAAAAAACAAAAACTGATCTCTTACCGAAATGTGAGGAACTTCTCCACATCCTTCAGCCATCTGCGGTTCAGCACGATCTGTGACAGTGCCACATGTGCTTTAGAGCCAGTTGGTACAGGCCATCATCCCCCAAAGGACCATGAAGGCATCTACCCAGGTCCCACTCATGCACGCCACTAACATGGTGCAGTACACCTCGCCAAATGTCCTAATAAGCAAACATAAGAAACTGAAAAGGTATAGTGAAAATGAGAAGATAAATTCTAGTTCTACTTTACTTACCATGAACTCTTCTCGGCTGCTTGCATGCTGACAGGCATACCAAAAATGGTTAACAATGTCCTTGATCCACCCAAGGATTTGTTTTTGACCTGCTAGGACACCCGCCTATCAAAGTTATTAGTTTTGGTTATGTCTATAAAAAATAATTGAATGAGAAACGATATGAACTATCACTTACAGCATGAAGCCTCTTAGTTAGATTTTTTTCAGCATGCCAGACATCCAGGGAATGGTTAACTCCATGATCCATATATCTTCCACGTTCTGGATCTATTATAAAGCTCAAAAATGCAGTAAGCACAAAATATAGCACATCAAATAATACAGACAAAAATACTTACGCATGAGGGCTGCAATTTGCACATGGGCGTCACAATCTCTTTGACTTTTAATTCTTTCGTGAGATCATCAAATGTTTTGATGAACGCTGCTTTCTCCATAGAGACACTTTTTCCACCAACTTGCCTTTTATCAACATTGACAACACTGATAATGTCCATAGTGTCAAGTTCCATCGTTGTGTATGTGCAAAACGTTGCAGAATGACCTTGTTGAATCAAATATGGTGAAACACAAAGTAATACACAATAACTATGTTGTGAAGTGAAAGGCTTCAGACTTACCTGGTGAGTCCATTCTCCCGTCAGCTGTAACAGATATAGTACTTATAGTGACTGCAAATACGACAAAGATTGTCCTTTAACACATTACTTACCAAGGGCCACAATGCCATCTTTTGACTTTAATCGAGTTACAATAGACAACCTCTTCTGCTCCCAAAATGCCTTTATTTCAGGTACGCAGTAGGAGTGTTGAATTTTGTAATAAGTTGTCGTTGAAACATCTTCATATTCATAAATTTGAAGAGGAGGGCAATCTTAGCAAAATTATTACCACTCAGTAATAAGTTGGCAGATCCATAACTTGTGTCCATAAGAGCAGAACTATGGAGAAAGAAACAAATAACTTTTACTAAATGTATAACTACACATTTTGCCTACCCTAAATACCAATCTCTAATTTCAGCATTCACTCACCCATTCCAATATGATTGATGTGCCCCTAGAACGTGATTGAACCGAAAATGGAGGCCGACCGTCACACTCAATACCAGAAACCGGATCGCTGTAATGGCATTTGTTGATGGGCAGTTGCAGAAAATTAGCCATTTGCAGCAAGCTAATAGTATACGCTATGCATGCTTGTTGGTGCACTAGGTCAGTTTCAGCAACCACACGAATTGGCTTTGGGAATGTTGATATGTCCTGCTCAGACTGATCCTCAAAGTCCTCTGGTTCTCCGGGATTTTCTGGGTCACAGATGTCCAACACAGCTTCTTCTATGCCGAGGATGGGAAGATTGTCAACTTCTCTTTGAATTGCAACACCAGCACTGAAAACAAGAACAATTTGATGCTTTTTCAAAAAACAATTAGGGAAGGACTTCCATTTTTAGGACAGAACATTTAATAAAAAAAACCTCAAAGATATAGGTGGGACATATTCCGAATCTAATGGATCTGAGGCCAAATCTTCATCAAACTCAATCCTGTGAAAGTAAACAGGTCATATTTTAAAACAATCAACAAAATATTTATTTTTAAACATGTTAAGTAACTTACACACTGTCTTCTAGATTGTTTGCCCGTTTTTCGTTTAACCAAAGATCTGAATGTCTACAAAAAACAATAAATCATATAAATAAACGACCTAGAAATGAGAATACAATGTACATCTTAATGTGAATGCATGTCTACCTTTTCTCCAAAACCTCCAGCTCTTTCTCCTCTATAAAAGGCTGCACCCCTGCCACAGATAAGTCATCCCTGTTAAAAAATACAGTTTGTTTCAGTGATATTGTCAGTAAGGCTTGAATCAAACATAATGCCAATCCCATTTTTCTGGGAAAAAAAAGTACCGGTCAGATTCTACGGGACTGATTGAACTCGGGAGATCACCAGTCGCAGTAGTGGTTTTAGGAGTTGAGGCCTTGGGACTCCTTGATGCCATAATTTTTTCATAGCTATAAAGTAAATAAATACACGTTACCTATACACACATGCATCTCATTGTATTACAGTTGGACTAACCACATTATATTACTAATATAGTCTGCAATTCTACGATACATATAGTACAGGTACTGAGGTACATAATCACTGCATCTGCAAGTTTCATAATGGTTTACATGCACAGTAGCAGCCCAATAATGTACACAGCTGTACTAAGCTAACACATGCTAACGTTCATTCAAAAGCACTAATCGACGTAACAGTCATTATTTCTAGACATTCTTCATACAGAACAAAAAAAATGCTGAATGTGTCTCGTCAATCTGTTACTGTTCAGAAAAAAACCGAACCAAATGGAATCAGTCCATGTTGCTAAGTCAAAAAGCTAACACACAATAATGCTATATCTCTTCGTATTCGAAGACACTAGGACGTTTAGAACTGAGTCACCGTCTTACCTTCTAATCAAGATAAACGCCAAATGAGGATCATTTTTTTATCCCCAGAGCGTTTCGGAGACTTCTCCATTTCTCAAACGCATGGCCGAGAGCGACTCGGGTCTGAGCTCTCCGCCGGTCGGCCTCTCGCTTCGCTCTTTTCGTAGCACTGGTGACAATCTTTTTTCTCTTCGCTTGGCGTGGAGTTCCAGACGGTGATTCTGAAGCTGGTCTCTTAGAAGAAACTGCTGGATCCATCTTCAAATACGCGTGATACGAGGACGGGACAGATCCACTGACCGCGAGGGAACATATGGAGCCAAAACAGTGAACGGGCACGCGCATTGCGTCACTTCCGCTTAAACAGCGCGCGAGAAAGCGACCCGAGTCTGGGATTTCTCAATCACTGTGTGCGCTCACAGAAGCAACCACAGTGAATCTGCTAATGCTCAGTTTACACACCAGGCAACTGCTGATGGACCACAGATGCAAAATATTGCATTATGGCATTTTTTAACTTACGCAATGCACCTGTCAAAATTATCGTTTTGACTCACGTTAATTACATTTTTTATTAACGCGTTATTTTTTTTAAATACCCGCCCATTTATCCATAAGAATATCACTCAGAATGCTGCGTGTGAGATGGCCTGCTCCGTGGCCGCTCTGGTTGTTGTTAGCGGCTGTGAGTGAGTGCGAGCTTTGCACGGGCTGCAAGCATGGATCTAGCTATTATAATAACAGCAGCAAGCGATTGCTCCGTTCACATACTCAGCGCTCTGCGCACTGTATTTTCCCTGGTTCTTGTCTGTCAGGCACAATCTGCGCACTGTATTCTCCCTGGTTCTTGACTGTCAGGCGTGAGTGTTGCTCGTGTGTGTCTTTGGGAACTAATTATTTTAAAATAGTCTCTTTCAATTGCAAGTTTTGTAATCTGTTTGTTTGATCAATGGATAAAAATAAATGCAATTTAATTAAATGGCACCTTGGCCTGTCTTATACCTGTTTGCCTGCAGGACAGTTCCCTAAACTAACATATCATACTAAAATAGGGTGGGGTTGTTGCAACAATTAATCTACTTAGAAGTTATCCTAAATTTGTCGTGGTACCGAGCTAAAGCTCGGTACCACGACAAACGAAAAAGTAACGCAATAGTTACTTTTACTGCTAACTAGTTACTTTTATAGTGGAGTAACTCAGTTAGTGAGTCAATTACTTTTTGGTAGAAGTAACTAGTAACTATAACTAATTACTTTTTCAAAGTAACTTACCCAACACTGGTAATTATATTTGATAATCTCATTTAACTTCAATTGGAGTGGATTTGAAATAGAATGTTAAACATGCGATTAATCGTGAGTTAACTCACCATTACTATGCAATTAATCAACTAAAAAAAATGAATCGTTTGACAGCCCTAGTATATATATATATATATATATATATATATATATATATATATATATATATATATATATATATATATATATATATATAAATATATAATTTGAACCGAGAATAGAACACATCTTTCATGTCATGAATAAAAATAAAAAATCCAAACTTTTGGTCTGTACTGTACATACATGAGATGAGCACTTACACTTTCAACATGTCTTTTGTCCTATTAGATTTATTTAATTGATTTTGACATGACAAGCTATAATCAATCATGATCAAATTGTGTGTGTGTGTGTGTGTGTGTGTGTGTGTTTGAGCATTTACAAAATCCGGGTCTACGGTCTGCCCCCCTCAACCCTGATTAGCATTTGTATAGCTCACAGCATTGCCATTTACATGTTAAAGCCTCCTGTGGAGGAGGGAGGAGGGGACAACAAACTGCCGAATCCCAGAAGTTTCACAGTAATATACAGGGCCGAAAAGAGACGAAAATCACACTTTTCATGCAGTGTAAGTTAAGCATGGGTGACACTCACCATTGCAACAACCGGTCCTGAAGTCATGTAGTCCACTAGATCTGGGTAAAAAGGCTTCTTGGTCAGCTGGCAATAGTGTTGAGACAGGAGGTCCTTGGAAACCTGAACACAATTGGACAGACTGTAATTATATTATATTAATTAGGCATGTCTTGCTTTACCCAACCTGAAGCTGGAATATACCCAACCTTAAAATCACAACAAATAAACCATGTCATAAAACAATGTAACAAGTGATAAGATCAAGTTCAAGGTTTGATTCTATTACCTGGAGCAGTTTAAGTCCGACCAGTTTGAAGCCTCGTCTCTCAAAACGATGAATAATTTGTCCCACAAGGCGACGCTGAACCCCGTCTGGCTTCACTGCGATGAGGGTGCGCTCCTTTACGCACGGCGCATCTGCAAAGAGCCGCAAACAGCCGCGGGAGGATCAAACACTGAGTACAACAAACCCTGGAAATAAACTCAAAGTTGGTAAAACGTTTCAATGATACAGTGAGAGTATCTGTAAAGTGCAGCTAAATTAACTTAATGAATGACAGTGAGCGATCAATGAGCGGGTCATGTGACCAATGTGTCCGCGGCACTGTCCTCAAGTGTAGCGCGCCTCTAACCTACTTTTGGTTCGTGACCCCAAGTGCGTGAACAAACATTGATTTATGAACGCAGTCAGACAAAATAAACCAGTCCAACGTGTGAGTGTTAGTGCACTTTCTCTCACACAGTTCTTACCACTGCGGATCTTAGAGACTTGAGACAGTCGCGGAAGTTCTCGTTTGAAAAGTACTTTGGTTTAGTCCAAGTCTGAATATGATCTTACCTGATTTATTCCTGTGTCCCGGTGCATCCGCAGCGCCCAGCCTCCAAACCGGTGTCAGTCCCGTAGCCGCGCTCGGTCCCCGGGGGCCCCACACCTGCTGAATGATCCTCTGGAAAACGCACCGCTGAAAGACGCTCATCTTTGACCGTGTGTCACTACAAACAAGTCACCTCCACTCAATCCAAGCTCACGAGTGACCATGCGTCTGGCCCCCGTGATGGGCCCAACAGCCGTTTACGTAATTCTGAGCAAAAGTTGTGTTTGCTTTGCTCTTGTTATTTTTTAAATCCATGTCAAATTCCACTATCATTGATTTAAATGTGATGCCAATGTAAACAAAACTATGTAGAACTACTAAAGCATTGAAAGGTTGAACAAAAATCTAGCAGAAGAAAATGAGAAAACACTGTTTTTCATCAAGGATTTTTATTACAAAAAGCACATAATTAATTAAGCAGTTTCTTTTCATTTTCATGGAATGATATGAAAGATCTTAAGTTGACTGAACTCTCCTTTGGAGACGAGACATTTAAAAGGCAAAATGAATAAAAGCAGACATTTTTTTAAAAACTCAGATGAGTTGAAAGTGCTCAGTCCCTCCTCGTGTGGTGCAGAGGTGCGGGAACGAAGGCCTGGCTCAGAGGCTCCAGGTCCGTGGCAGACCAGGTTAAGCTCCACACATGGTTCACAAGAACACCTTCTACAGTAGAACTCAGACGTATCAGCAGCATCCTCCGCCTCCAAACTACATTCAGTCTCCTACTTCTGCAGTAGGTCCAGTAAAGCTGAGTTTGGAGCGCAGGGCAAAGTGGTCAGCATAAGCAGTCATTAAAAATACTATTCACGTGGAGTGGTTCATCATTGGCTATAGCTTGATGGTGCCCGTGGGCAAACTACTGTTGCAGAGTCTGTAGTAGCGGAGGTCGTTCACCAAGCGCTGAACACTTTGTGTAAAAGAGGGAAGGTCCTACGGAAAAATAATATTCAGCATTATCAATATGACAGAATGGATTTTTTTTTGACCAAACAAATATGGATCCTTACACGCTCAAGTTTAAAATTGCGAGCCAGAACAGCTCGCTGGTTGCTGTCCACTCCTTGACAGCCATTGAGAAACTCTGGCATGAAGGCAGAGTAGAAGGCATCGAAGTCTACGGAGGCCATGTTGTAGATGGCCAGTGTAATTTCCTCCAAAAGAAGGTCGTGGCTTTTGTGCAGAAGAACCTGCAGCAGCACGTTAATGAAGTGGAACAGCATGGAGGTCCTGAAAAGCTTCTGCAGAACACACAGCACAACAGCTCAGATTTGCTTGAAAAACATGAGAGTACAATACTGAGCACTTACTCTGTGATACAGCTTGTGCTTGCTGTTCAGAGACTCCAAATAGCAAAGGTTCTGTTTAAAAATGTGGATGTCCGGCTGCAGGAAGGACTGTCCGAACGCCTGCGAAACACCACGAGTCAGAAACCTGAACTATGCTCTGTTCTGACAGTATTGGTACAGACCTGCATGGCAGCCGTGAACTGGGCCTCGTTCTCCATCACATCCTCAGAGACCCCCTTTTGGACAGTCGTTAAAACAGATGTTTTAAAGAAATATTTCCAGTTTTGGTGAAGTATTTGGTAAAGCAACTCGAACATCTCTGCTTTGACGTCAGGGGATGAACGCTACAAAAGTAAACAACAATTAGATCTAGGGCTGCAGCTTTTGGGAAATTATCCAGTGGCAAGATTTCTGACTCATGTTGAGAATACATTTTGTGTAAAAATAAATCAAAATAATAATAAATCAAAATAAAAGAGTTGGAAAAAAACAACAAAGGGGAACGATTAACAGTGACGTAGTGGTTTGGACCAATCATTGGAACGTCACGATTGTTATTGATATTTTAACTGTAAATCATAAATAATGCAGCCGATGTACTGTATGTATTTGGTTCAAGCTCCCACTGGGGAGCAGGAATGGATTTGAACACAGCACCAGGAGTGGTTGATTCACATAAACACACCTGCTTCCCAGTGTGTTTATGTGAACAGCAGAGAGCCTTTATGAGGAAGTTATAATCAGGGGTGCACATCATTTTTTCAGCGAGGTACTCAGATGAGTACCAGGACATCGTGTTTGGTGCTCACTTTATTTGTCGCGCAGTTCTTAATCAAGATTTTATAATTGCTTCTTTTTAATGCTAAAGTTTAGATCAGCTCAGATAATCCACTCATAATGGATTAGTTGTTTCAGCCCTAAAAAAGATTATACAACTTCCACACAGGAAAGGTAATAAAAAAAAACAATGTGAGACTAAGGCCCCGACTCCACCGGGCGCGTAAAACAGACGACGGATCCGTCCAAACATGTCCGTTTCATCTCCGTGTCCGTTATCTCCATGAGAGTGAATGGAAGTGGCTCCACTGCCTCCAACATCCGTCCGTGCAACGCGCGTCGGACGGATTCCGTCAACGGAGGGTGCAACGGACGCGGACGGACGAAATAGAAACATTCCTATTTGTTCCGTCCGTCGACGCGTGTCGGGTCCGTTTTCCATTGAAAATACAATGGAATAATATATTTACCACATTATTAAACATGTATTGATATATGCTGTAGTCCTTGGTTATAAGTATTTGTTAATGACAATGATTATTAACAAACATGTGTAATTTTTTTTCAAGTATTAATTTAAATAATTGTTTCCTGATCGTAAATCTACCATTTATTTTTCAAGTAATGTTAATAGGCTAAACTTTACATACACCTCGCTCTTTTTTCTTTCGCTCTGTCCCGTCTACCTGCGAGGCGCTCTCTCCTCACCGCACACACACATTACACACAGAGCTACTGCACTTATGAGAGACAGATCTCACAACAACACCGGATATGTTAGAGTTCTTTTCTCTTTTCTCTCTCCCATTTTTCCAATTGCTTTCAATAAGTTTTGCCTCATCCATTGCGACGTCCTCAATGCTTCAATATAATGTGCTTTGCACTGATCATAGCCACAGCTCATGCACATCACACACCGCTTCTTCTATTTAAAACTATAGCTCTGCCTGTTGCCTAAAGCCGCAGAGAGGCGAGTTGGGTCCGATAAAAGTGTTGACGTGCTAAATAAGTATACACAACAAACAAAGAGGTTGGATCATAATAAACGCTGCGGTCACAGGCCCAAACACACATGCACGCACACGCCTCCCACCACACACACACGCACACACAGGCGCTCTCACGCACACGCCCACGCTCACGCACACATGCACGCCGACAACACATGAGGAGGAGTCATGTGTTGTCGGCGTGCATGTGTGCGTGAGCCAAACATTCATTTATTCACACAATGCTCAAACGTGTCTCCTACAAAAACAAAGCAGGCTGATAAACGCACAGCCAGAGCTGCTGCAGCCGGTTTGACCACTAGTCTTACGGACGTCCGACGGACAGCAGCCAACGCGCGTCAACGGAGACGCGCCCGGTGCAGTCCAGGCCTAACACATATTTCTCGATACAATAAGTCAAAAAGAGTTTGGCAATAAAGTGGCACTAACTATGTGAAAAAAAATATTTTAGAAATCCACTCTCTGCCCAAAAAGTAAAATAATGTAAGTAAGTATGTAAAATAAAAAAAAAACAAGACTGTTTTGGTTGGTTCTGTTTGTTTGGTCACAACATTTTACTTTGGTTCACAAATGACATGCATTTTCAATGCACGCGAAAATGTAGGTACCTGAGCTTTAATTCAGTGGCTGTTTTGGCTGCGCTTCGTCAGGAGACTTGGGGGAGACTTGGGAGAGGCGTGGGGGGGAGACGGGGCAGAGACGGGGGAGACAGGCAAGACCCGCACGTGCAACAACCTGGGGACGGTACTGATCGCGTGTGTATGGTTCTGTGCGCGCGTCTATGGTCCGTGCTTGGTACATGACTACGCGCGTTCGCTGAGCGGCCACAGTTTCTCCTGGGGTCAGAACGGAGGATGTTATCGCACCACGCCCCACCTAGGGAGGAGCCCCCACTATTTGAGAAGGACTGGTCTATGTGAAGTACGCAAAAGCACTTACTAACTCAAGTGATGGTACGCATTTCTGATATTTGCCGCGCATGCGTACCTGCGTACCACTTATGTGCACCCCCGGTTATATGTGATTAGGGCTGTTGTTGAAGCAGAGTTTCTAGTTTATTTTGACTCAAAGTAAGTTGTAGAAGGGATGGGAAAGTAGAGCAGAGTGTTTTTATTCTCAAGAGTCAAAAGAACACTAAAACACAATCATGTGACCAACATCCAGTCTATAGACTTTGTTTTTCTCTGTCAGCTGTTGGTCAAGTGTTAAATCACAGGCTTATATTCAAGTGCGGACTATTTGTGGACCACATTTACTCTGAGAATTAAGTTGGTGTTTATATACAGATGTGTTTAAAGTGATTGTCTGGGGTTTTGTCAGAAAAAAAGGGAAGGTACATTATTTGAAAAAAAAAAGACGACCCAAGCTCTCCCCCCTTCTGATTGGTCTACGCCTACATTTCCGTAACCTATTTAAATGTTAATCGGAAAATACATTATACATATACATTATTAATACACATGCACGGAGGTTTCCAGAATTATTTGTTAACGTTTTCATAACAAAAATAATGTTTTAATGCACACAAAAAACGATCGCGGTAAACCCGTAAGAAGCTATTATTGTTAATTGAACATTTTAGGAACATCTGCAGAGGATCTGATTATGGATCTTATTAGGTTCAGTATATAAATGATTATGGATATAGGTTCAGTATATAAATGATTATGGATATAGGTTCAGTATATAAATGATTATGGATATAGGTTCAGTATATAAATGGGTAACTCAGGCGGATGTTCAGAATTCTTTGTTCAGTTTTCATGTAGTTCCAGAGCCTAATAAAAGGCTTGATTCGGAGGCTCTGTGAAAACAAACAACTGAGCATTCACGCAGCTAGAGCATAAGCGCCAATGATTAACCAATCAAGAGATGCCAAGAGCTGTCAAAGTGGACGGCATCGTGGATTTTGAGCTATAGCTAAGAGAAGGGAAGGCGGGACTTACCCGTAATATTAGAATTCATAAAATGACTTATTTTATATCAACATTTAAGGCCAGGAGGTCAATTTAACACAAATCTTAAAATTTGTAATCCATTTAGATTTCACTTTAATAGTTCAGCAAGTACTGTGTTTTTTTACTTGCAAAATGATTACACGCAGCAAAAAAGTTTTGCTAAACAATAAATCATTCAGTTTTTTACCTTCAGTAGTGTCCAGTAGGGCTGTGACGATATATCGATTTTTCGATATATCGCGATACTTTCTCCCGCGATTCGATTATCGATATGCATTTGCCAAGTATCGATATCGATTTTGAAAAAAAATAAAAATAAAGTTTGTTTTTTTTACAATAAAAAAAAAATAAAAATGGTATCAATACTTATGGCTACATTATTTCATGATAAATGGAATGGAGATGCGTAAAGTGTAGTTTTTCTTTTATTTATGCCATAAATTGGCATATTGTATATTTCTGACCAATATATCGATAAACGTCATATCGTGATAAAATCGTTATTGTGATATCGTTATCGTGATATTGTTATTGTGATATCGTTATCGTGAGCTTTGTATCGTGTATTGTATCGTATCATGAGGTACCCTTAGGTTCCCACCCCTAGTGTCCAGACCTATTGTCACACAACGTGAAGTTTTGCCAATTTCGGCACAATTTGTCATGGATCTTTTAACACGAGCATTAGGAGGGTATAATGTTGACATTTGGGCGCGTGTGGATTGGTATGCAAATCAAGAGATTCCTTTTTGCTTTCTGATTGGCTAAGTTTGTTCACTGTGGCTAAACTCTCCTTCAAAACTAAAATTGTTAACAAGCAAAACCGAGTTGCGCAACACATTTAGCCAAAAATGAATTCTGATTTGGAATGAGAAAATAATGCTTCTGCTTGACAAAAGACAAACATACTTGCTTTGAATAGAAGGACTGTGGTGATGATCCAGGACACTACTTTCTACAACATGTATGGACATCAACATTATCAACATTCATGGACCAATACATATGTGTGTTTTCTGTGTCTCAACTGTTGATTCTCTGATCTTTGTTGGCGATTTCAATGGTTTTGTTAAGTTCTGAGATGACTGCTGTTGTTATTTAGGGCTATACAAGATACATTGAATTTCAAAAATATGAAAATCAATCTTTTGCTTGTTAAGAACTTAAACACTGTACTTGCGATTTGATGATTGTGACCAAAAAGTATTGATCTTGATTCTATGGTGTTTTATTGCGCAGCTCAAGAAAACAAAGCTATACTAACATAGTGAAACATTTACCAAGATGTATGAGAGATAACTCTTTAGCTTCATTCCTCATTCTTAAAACATGTTGAAATCACTGAAATCCTGCCAATACCTCCGCCACCACTGGGTACACCTGCTCCATGCACAGGGAGAGGATGCTGGGGAGGAAGGGTTTGAAGGCCTGGCCGTGTTCTTGAACCACCACCTGGAGGATCTTCAAGAACTTCTGGACCACTCTGCACCCAGCGCTGCCGTCCTGCTGGATACTGGCCACCAGCTGCTCCCTGCACAAGCACAATTTACACCATTTATTTAATTTATTTTCCCTTGCCTGATGGAGAAGGGTCTGTTAGACTGTTAGCAAGAAGGACAGTGGTGATGATCCAGGACACTTTAACATTCTACAACATGTATGACATTAATCAACATTCATGGACCTTGGGTCTCTCCTTATGGACCAATACAAACGTGTTCTATATGTTTTGTGTCTTAACTGTTGATTCTCTGATCTGTGTTGGTGATTTCAACGGTTTTCTTAAGTCCTCTGAGATAACTACTGTTGTGATTTAGAGCTATACCTGAATAATTTGAATTGGATTGAATTGTTGCAGCTGAGACTTGGGTGGTATCTCTGACTGCCACCCCCCGACCCAGAAATGGATTAAAGGGAAGAAAAATGGATGTTGCAGCTGCAGTTTGTAATGATCATTTGAAAGGCGGACAGATGGCAGACCTGGTGAACATGCTGAGAAACGTGTGTATGATCTGCCCGGTGAAAGCAACACCCATCTGCACCCTGAGCGCCTGGAACAGGGTCAGGAAGAAGGCCAGCATTTCATCGGTGACGTCTGCAGCAGAGTCAATACATAAGAAAACATATACTGCACAAGTTATAACACTTTTAAAAATCAATGTATCTTCATTAGGGTCAACCCATTATTGGCACTAATCTCGACCAAAATGAATTTATCCCAATCAGACAAAATAAATTTGCAATTTCTTTCTTTAAAAATAAATAAATAAATAAAATAAAACAAGGTTTGTCTAGTCCAGCCTACTGGTCGATACAACAATACAATTTAACTAAACACAAACATTTGTTCAGGTACTTCATATAAATAACAGGACACCTCATTTGGATAAACTCACATCAAAAACATTAGTATACATATTCCCCCATATCTGTGTGTGTAAAGAATATTTGTTTTGTCGTGCAAGTTTTGAAACACAGAAAAAATTAGTTTTTGAGTGGGGAACAGACAGACCTGGTTGTTGAATGAAAACTGGAAAAAGGCTCAGCGACACTTGGACAGACTCTTGCAGACTCTGGTAGCAGATTTGGCGAGATTTGGTGGATTCCCCGGATATGCTATCCACAATGTCCCTCAGCACGGGCAAGGTCTGCTGTATCACTGCTTTCACTTCAAACAGAAAATCAGGATTAATACACAACGTTTCAGACAAGTGCAAGTCAAATGTGTGAGCGACAGACCATTATCTAGAGCGGGTTGGGGCGGGGGAACATTCACAGTGCCTCGTAAGACTCGGTATTCTCTGGTAAGAGTGGTGAGCAGGCTACAATGGTTACCGGAGCGTGACTGCCACTGCTGCTCACTCTCAGGTAAGTTTGGCCACGGCAGCAGGAACATGTTGGACAGAGCTCGGCACACCAACATATGAGCCTGGAAGACAGAGGGATGGGTTCATGCGTCTGTAACACGTTTAGAAGTCAAAAATACAAGAGGGAACACGGACCTCCTGAGGCAGGCGGCGAGCCTGGTTATCAGTGATGAGGTTGAAGATGTTCTGGACCGCTGGCAGTGTCACCAGAAACACAGGCCGTACTGTGGAGGTCAGGGACACCATCAGATGGCACGACGACAGCAGCAGTTTTTCAGGTACCTGCAACATTCATAGGGAGAGGTCACGCTCAAAAGCACACTTTTCCAAACACTAACAGCTGTTGTGCAGTTAACCAATAAGACAAGACACCCTTTATTTGTCCCACATTGGGGCAAATGGCCAAAGAGACCAAAGTACATCCATGTAATACACATGTCTGGGATATGGATATGTGGAGTTGTTTTGCATCGTTTTATCTATAGGCTGTAAATAGTAAGCGGCACCTTTGCGGTGATGAGAGGGCTACAGGCATCGATAGCAGACGTGATGAGATTGATGAACTGGCTCTGGTTCTGGCCATGGACCATGCTGTAAAACTGTGCGAGCCAATGGGAGTAGGCCTGTAGCGCAGCCAGGGCCTGTGCGTGTCTGCAACCAGGAAAGGACAAATGTAAGAATCACATCAATGTATGATATTGTAAAATAAATCAATAAAACTATCGATGTGCTGTCATTTAGAGCACAACGTGTACTGTGGTATTTGCACTCACACATCAGTGAGGTCTGGTTTTAACACAGAAGGCACAGCGGTCTCCAGGTCGTAGAGGCTCGTCTGAGAACCATAGCAGGTCACTTCAACCAATCTGCAAAGAAAAGAGGAAGATACATTTCAATACAACTCTTATCTTAGCGCCTTAATATTGCGGCGTAACTACAGTGGCACAAAAGCACCGCTGACCTGATCATACTTCTGCTTGCTTTAGCACTGGTTCTCAAACACAGAAAATACTCAGAATACGTAACTTCTATAAATATTTGACCAGCATTTACTGATGCGAAATACACAGGTCCACAATTTGTTGCAATATTCTTTGACAAAATGAAAATATTTGGCCCAATAAAACAACTTAAGAAATTAGAATATATTGAAAATGGACCAATATCATCAAAATTATAACAAACTTGTTAATGAGTTTTTATCATATATTAGTTTCACATTTTAAAATGTCAATTACAAAAATAGAATATTGTTCAAAAGTTCATCTAATTTTAAAGGAAATGAATACCAACCAGTCAAAGGATCACTAAACTCTTCACAACACAGTGCACCACATTTTTTATACATTCAAACTCTAACACTAAAGGTCATAACCCAAAGATTTGGAGGCCAAGCACAGACCTCTCCACGACTGCCAAAGCGTCATTGAAGCGAGCTGCAAACACGTCACCGATGAAGTGCTCTGCCAGACGGCCCACGGCCTGGAGCAGAGAGCTGAGGTCCCTGAGAGAGCAGTGCAGGCGGCGGCAGTCGTTCTCTGCACTGATGTTCAGCCTCCGACCTGAGGGCGCACGAGGACCATTACGGTGGAAGTATCCTGCTTCTGTCTGATGTATATGTGGTTATCATTCATCATGGGTCACAGTAAACCCAATGACAAAGTGCAGACATAACAGAAAATCACAGTAGCAAGCAAACCTTTTCCCACAAGTTGTAACAAAATGCCTTTGCAATAGATCGCTTCACTCTTGGTAAACTAGGCCGGACGCACTCGCAACCGGTTTGCAGAGAAAGCCACATCCTCCCTTTACCTAGATGTGATTTTCTGTTGGTATTTAGCAATTGTTTTACAAGAGACTTTGGTTATAATAGTTACAGTAGTTGATCACGGAGAGATCAGCTAACATTGGTGCATAGAATATGTCTAAAAGAGAGACTTAACAGCTGCCATCCGTTACAAGCAAAGCATGAAGCTGATAATCCATCTATACAGCTGACTCATGTGATGAAGAAAGAGTTCTTGCAAGTGATTTATTCAAAGTATGTATGAATATACATGTAGAGATTAAAAGGAAAAATAGATTTTGCACATGCCCTTTAAAACACTAATGGAAAAGAAATGGAAAACAAAAATTCAATCATGCACACCCAGATATTTTAGTGATTAAGAATAATAATAATAACGCTAATACTTTGTTCAATACGGTACTTGTTATTGGTTGTGTGAAACCACACATTTGAAAATAAAGAACAAGTTTATTCATAAATAGTCAGAAGTCTTCATCCTGTCTGATGGTAACGCTGCCCATGTTTCCAGTAAATCCCTGGGCCACTTTAGTTGCCCTTCAGGTAAAGCCTTTCAGGTTTAACTGAGCTGGTCCCCAGATGATCATTTGATCTTAGAAAACAAATCTATTTGACAATATATGGTTTTACATCACCACTAACGAAGAATGGAAATGTATTTTTGTTATCATTCATCATCTCCAAATTTGACCAAAACAATATGAGTGTGCAAACCTCCCAAGTACAACTGTAGAAAACTCAAATAATAAAAAAAAAGTATAAAACAAAACATGGCCACTTACTTGTACCAGTGGTTACAATAAACTGCTGCAAACCCAAATAAACATCCAGATTTTCTTGAAGAACTGGAAACTGAAGAAGGAAATATATTTAGTGAAAAATAATTTGGTTGAATATTGTTTGTTATTATTGTCATACCAGTGTAGTAAAGGCATGTGATGGCAGCAGCTCCATCACTTTGGCAACAACCTCCAAACTCTGACGCAAATACTTTTGCCACTCAGTCTGTAGCTATGGTAACCAAACAAGGACATGCATTCAGATCAAGTGTGAAGAGAAGTTGAGGACGATTAAAGCAAGTAAGTGCAAAGCGCTATATAAGTACTATGCATATTATTACTATCATAATAAATTCATCTGAGGAACTTACATCATCATCCAGCGTCTCGTCGTCCAGCTCCTCCAACTGGGCCTGGTTATACCTGAACTGTATGCGGTTGAGAACTTCCCGTAGAAGAAGAACCAAGGCGTCTTTGTAACTAAAACAAGGTACAAAGAGTGTTCAGATAAAATAGGAGTCAAATATAAAAGCATCTTTGTAAACCTCACCTATTCAGCACACTGTCTCGGTCCGCCAGCCTGCTTTTAATTTTTGTTGTCAAGTAATCGAGAAAGATACTCCATATATCCAGACAGGCAAAGTATCCTTCGTGTGTGGGCTACCGAGAAGACATTTGGAATTAAAATGACAGGACTAAACCATGCAAATGTAAGATCAGAATGTGCACTGCTTGTACCTGGTTAAAGGTGTATTTGAAAAGCAGACCCAGGAACTCCACAATAGGAAACTGTGGACTGGACTCTATGCGCCTTAAATGAACACTGACAAACAGGCGCAGAAAGTCTGTGAACTTCTCCAAGTAACTGAAAAACAGCAATTCACAAAATGACATCAGCCTTCATCTCTGATGTCTGATTTGTTTTTTCTTTCTCTTACAAACAATCAAAGAAACACAGAATGAAGTCACCTGTAAGGAATCATAGAAAAATTGTTAGCATTAAGATCCGTAGGAGTTGCAGGGTTCTCTCTCCTCAGAGCCCTCTCAGTGTCAGGGCATCGGGGAATTTTCTAGCCTTTCTATAGTTGAAGTGTCAGAAACGCTTATAGGCTCCTTCTTCGCCACTTTCCTTTTGGCTGTATTTTGACTGAAAGCCACGACACTCCAACCACCTGAGCGGGGGAGAGGTCTAATCGGGGCTGACAGTGGCTACACACGTGACCAGTGCGCACAGCAAGAAAAAGCTGTGACATTCCCATCAGCACTGACTCCTAATGTCAGAACAAAGCTGTGGTACAATCATTGCTACTGTAGAAACATCTGCACTGTGCTCAGAGACGGCACGTAAAGCCTGGCTGATCCAGATCCGTATACGATCCTTACATCTACATTTGCGTTATCATTATTGATTGCAAACTATATAAATACCAAGAATAAATCCACACAAGAGGGATCCAACTCTGCGAGAACCCTCGAGTTGGATCCTACAGTATTTCATAAAGAGAATGAGAATGGGCCTTCCTACTGACAACAGCAAATAATGTTGAGTCTGCACTGAGTGGGTGGCACTCAGGCTCACAGCAGGAAGGTGGTGGGTTTCGTCTTCTGTTGCCCCAGGCTTTTATATGTGGTACTCTGTTTCCCCACCACCTAAACAGTATCATCAATAAAATCCTCCAGCTCTGGCAGTCCTGACCACTGCTCTTGACAGAGGCCTAGGGGCATGGAAGGATGGGTCAAATGCAGGGCAATTTTCTCTATGTGGACGATAAAGTAAACAAAGTACTTTTTGGCTGGGACTTGGTAACATTGTTTTCAAATGCGCATGCATGTGACTATTTACATTTTGCTGGTTTCCTGTCTTTAGCCTGTTCTCATGCAGAGTGCTAAACACAGTGCACATGTTTGTTCTCCTAAAAGGTCTGGTCTAGAGTCGTCTCCATACTTAATAAAATTACGAACACAAATGTATATACTCATACTATTTTTTTTTCATTACATGATTTTTAGTACAACACTAGTGGTTTTTAACTAGTTATATATGGATTTAAATATTTAAAAAACTGCTCAAAGAATCTCACATTTTGTAGTAAGTATTGATACTATGGTTATCTTGTTTTGATACCTCGTTTTAGTATTGATTAATATCCGATTTGATACTTCTGACAACCCACGTCTGACCTTACACCAAATTTACAACAATTGTAGAGTCTATGAATGCCCTACACTATTTAAATCAAAGGGTTATAAACAGAATTTTGCAGAACTTTTCTTTCTCTTGACGATTGCTCTGTTCATCTTTTCATTTGGTACAATAACAATAGAGCAAAATCCTTTACAAAAACTTAAAAATAATCAAGCACAGCGCTGTATACAGTCACACAACTGGGTTTTTATGCATGATTATTATCACACAGTGGAAATCTTGTTCTGTCCGATCAACAGAAAGGCAATGTTCAAAATCCCCAATAGCCGTGTGACAAAGCAGAACCGATCTGAACAGTGGTGCTACACGGAAACCCGTTACATCAGACTGCAATTCTACCCTAAACAAGAACATCTCAAAAACAAAACACACTTGGGGAAAAAGAGAAAGTAAAACAAAGTCCTACCTTTCGTCCAGTTCTTGGAGGCGGCCCTTGACGGTGTGAGCGTTGTTCTCTCGCGTCAGCCTTTGTAGGAGAAAGAAGGTCTGCTGGAACATCCTCAAGAGATACTCCTCGAAATGCATTGGCACGCAGTTCTTTGACACCAGTTCATTGACACAGGTCATGGCAAGGACTCCGAGTCGAGCGCGGTCCATCTTTGTCATCTCCGTTTGCTGTCCGTTGCGGCCGCCCCCGTTGGATGTGGTGATTTGAAGCTGTCCGTTTGAGGAGGAGGAGTTGGAAATGAAGGAGCCCGTTTTGGCTTTTGTCCGGAAGTCGCAACCGAAGCGTGCAAAGTGAAAGATGGAAGCGAGGAGTGTGGGCGTTATACTTGTGGACAATGGGATCCAGCTAAAAAGATGAGCTAAAGATTCTAAGACCAGGCAACAGAGCTGGTGACTGTCGTTGTCCAGTGTGGCCATGGGCTGACACAGCAACTTTGAGTATTGGCTTCCCTGAAATAAGTTCCCAACCAATTCCACTAGAAAAACAGAAGATATGTAAATATTCAACACATATGAACAACACTCAATACTGAGAGAGAGTGCACATACCGCTTTCTCCTGAGGTTGGCGATGGTGGTGGAGTGGATGCAGTAATGCTGTGCTTGTCCCAGTAGGTTTCAAGGATACCTTTAAATGACAAATATATATGTTTTATAAGTTTTATATACAAGTTTATTTCTATAACAACTTGGCAGCAGTGGTTAAATAGGTTAAATACTTTTCCACATTACAGAGAGGTATTGAGAGCATTGCATGGATTTTTTAAATGTCAGATGTAAGCCCTCTGGGAGTCTCTGCTTAGACTGCTGCCCCATGACCCACCAAAATCTCCATCCATCTAAAGAACTACACATGGATGGAGATTGATGCCAGCCAGCCTGATGCTCTATGGAGATTTTGGGTGAATACATTATTGCAAATATAATTATGTCTGACTATTAAAGTTAAGGAACCATTATTTGAACATGCCTCTGGATAATTTAAAACGCACTAACGCAACCCAAAACTACAGCCCAAGATGATGTTATGCACATTTGATTCGTTAAAATTTAATTTGAAGAATAGTATTGTTCTTTTATACAAGAACAATATCTCCCTTGCCACAGTAGTGTGTCTAGACCATGAGCACTCATAAACATTGCATTTAAATAAAGAAAAATCACCCAGTATCAAATAAAAACAAAAATTTGTGCTGATGGCACAGATTGATTGTTTCAAATGGCATGAACAAGAGACTTCCAGTTATTAAACATCTCAGACTCTAAAAAGGTTTGCTTTAGAGTTACCTGTTAGGAGCCCGAGCACAGTGGGCACCTGCTCCATCAGCAGTTTCCGCAGCTCGTCTTTTCGGGCAACACTAAGGTCCTCTCTGGGACAGGCGAGCTCCTCTGAAGTGGTTTTGAGCATAATTAACCCTAACTGAGCCAACACTGGGCTTTGGATTAGCTGGAGTTTGTAAAAAAAAATTGTTTAGAAAGTTAATAATCACATATTACTGAGCACAAACTAGAAACAGAGGAGTGATGAGAACTTACCTGCAATGTGCTCGTGAAAAAGTCATGGTAAAACATTGGCCAGTCCTGGCGTCCGATGTCTACAATAACTTTACAGAGTTTGTTCCGGATGAAATAGGGGACATTTTTGTGCTGAGCTAGAAGAAGTTTGGGCAGACAGCTTCGAATCTCCATCTTGTCTTGAGAGGCGACACCAATCCACATCCTGTTCACCAAGTTCTAAACAGCATCACAGAGCAGAATCATGTCAGGTGTGTTCTGTGATGTGTTTTTAGATCTATAAACACTTACTTCAAATACTGTGAGGCTGTACATCATGACGTACTCGTTCCGCGTGTGGGAGAGGAAGAAGAGGCAGTGGCGCCATGCTCCAGTTTGCTGTGCAAAGTTATTCAGTAGCTCCTCTGTAGGAACAGAGAGGTTTGAACAAACTTTAAGATGGATACATTAATCTATATTGGTTATTGAACCATCTGTTGAATAATTATCAGCCTGAAACGACTAATCGAATCAATCCAATTAAATAGATTTCAAAAATCTAGATTACAATTCCTTTGTCTCGATTAATAAAAAAATATACACAAAAGGTATACTGCTAGTAGTAAACAGAACTAATCGTCTCACTCAAAAACATTTCTGCCTCATGCCAACACAGGTATAAAAGAATTATTTAACCATTAAGAAGGAATTAATCCAATTATTGCAATATTGAATTACTAAAATAGTTGATGACTGCAGCCCTAAATGAGTGTTATTGTCATCTCTTTCACTTATAAATCTATTAGTAATAGTCATCCGTCCAACGAAAAATTTATGATATTGCAATAGCAGCTTTGGAAATTATGCAAAATTGAAAAATGTAAATTCAATTCAATAAAACCTGGACATGTATAGAGTAAAATGTGTCCCCACCCACTAGAACATTTACATTCAGCTCAGCATAAAAGATAGATACTCAAAGATATTCACTTCTATGATAATTTCTAACTGAACTTGCACTATTGAACCCATTATAATAGTGTGATACATGATGTGAGAGACAGAGCATTGGTGCTGCACTTCTTTATAAAAGCCGAGATGTCACACATACCATTTCCCCTTCTGTAATCAGTGAACCACTTACCTATTTCTCTCTTGCGCTCATTGGTCGTGCAAGTGTGAAAGAACTCTGTCATGAGGCTTTCGAGGGCGTGCAGTGAACCTTCCTCCGACGCCTAGAATACGAACCAAAGTTAACATGATGGCAACGCAGAACAAGTGACATGGCAATTTGAATCCATTTCAATTGATTGCATTGCATTATAAATGATTAAGGACATAGTGTTTACTGTTTGGTAAAATACTATATTATTTCAGTTGGAAATCCACACATTACAAAAGCATGTGTAGTTGTGAAAGCTGTTGACATCTGTGGAAGGCATAGATGGCCAATGGTGATTTGACAAGAGGAGCATGCAGGCGGGTCTGAATTCTTTAAATGAGCCACAACTTGCAGAGGCCTCACGCTTTGGGCTCTTCATACCTGGCTTAATGGGCGTTGTACACCCCGTCAATATGTGTTTACAAATCCTACAAACCGTTATACGCCCAATGAAAACAAAACAAGAGAATTTGGAGGACAAAACATTACAATAAGCCACAATGTAGGCATGTAATGAGTGTTTCTGTGAGAGTGATTAGTGTTCAAATAAGTCTCCAATCAACACTAATCACTTGTGCACGAGCAAATCAAAATGCAAAGAACACATTACCATTTCATATGATGTTTTTCAGTCTTCAGTTATTCCCCAATCGAGGTGAGCATCAGACTTTTGTCCAGGCAGCTCTGTCGTCGTCGCAATGATGCAGGAAGAAGCCAACAAAACTACAAAGCCGTCTCATCCTGCGGCTTTGACTCAATACATCTCACGATCTGTGCGTCAAAACGGCGTCACGTCAAATTACAACATTTTATGGCTCTACTTGCACGATGTCCTCAAGCCCAAATCCAAAATGGACAGCCGAAATTAGCCTCTAGTCCTTTGCAAGCAACTTTTTTTTAACCTTATATTCAAAACTGTTCGTAATCAAAAACATATACCGTATTGATTGGCGTGTATCCTGGTTTTTGTGAGTACTTTGATGCCAATTTGTCGCCACCATTGCTAACTGCTGCGCTAGCGTTGGCTACATTTTCTTCTTGCTAGCTGTCAGACGCAGACATGCTTCGGGCTTCGCGGTCGCTCGGTTCTCCTTGCAATAATGTATTTTGAGGTACAGAAATGCACAGCTACGTTATGGGTTCAGCATGGTGTGGAAAGGAGCGGTGTCGTGTGCGGGAGTCGTGTGCGGTTAGCCCTGTTGTCGGTGCATGGGGTGGGTCGCTCCCTGGTGCCTGCTAATGCTAGCTTCACAGCAGCGGGCTCCGTTAGCTACTTCCTCTTTCGCTGCGAGAAACCGGTCCACCCCATGAGTCCACCCCGCGGGGCATGTGCATGGATGTATTATATTAACTGGATAGGGTATTACTAGCTTGTAGCTGAATAACTCATGTGCTCAGGGGATTCTCGCGGTACTGCAGACTGAACCAGACTGAACCAGACTAAATTCACGTGGGCTACCCAGAAATTTTCCCCATAGAACTCAATGCATATTAAAACAGCTCAACCTCAGCTGAAAGAGAACCTACAGCTTTAATAAAGATCGGATTTTGTGGGGATTTTAGTGTCCCTTGTCATCCTGAACTTTTTTTCTTCTTAAATCCTTCGGTTTTGTTTAAATCCACACTTTAGTGCCACAAACTCTGCTCCTCTGGCTCTCGCTCTAACTCCCGCTCTGATGAACTGCTCTGATTGGTCAGAGCGCGGCCGAGCCCCTCTGTGCACGTGCGTGAGACCCACACACGCGTGTTTGGCGCAACGCATTATGGGAGATCATCCACTGCGCAGAACCGGGAGGACCAGACGATGCCCAAATACAGGCGAGTTTCCCATAGATCTTTGCGAGTTTCAGGCGACTTCCGCTAATCTTTCAGCCCCCATGCCGTCACAAAGCGCCACTGAGCACAACCATTCATTTGAATAGGGCGCCATCTTGAATCGCCGGGGCTTGGGCATGTGGGGCATGGATGTATTATATTAACTGGATAGGGTATTACTAGCTTATAGCTGAATAACCCATGTGCTCAGGGGATTCTCGCGGTACTGCAGACTAGACCAGACTAAATTCACGTGGGCCACCCAGAAATTTTTCCCATAGAACTCAATGCAAATTAAAACAGCTCGACCTCAGCTGACAGAGAACCTACAGCTTTCATTAAGGTCGGATTTTGTGGGGATTTTAGTGCCCCTTGTCATCCTGAACTTTTTTTCTTTTTAAATCAATAGGTTTTCTTTTTTAATCTTCACTTTAGTGCAACAAACTCTGCTCTCTTTTTCCCGCTCTTCCGCCGCTCTAGCATCCGCAGCTCGCTGATTGGTCAAGACGTTGCCAAGCCCCTCTGCTCGCGTGCATGAGAACCATACGAGCGTGCGTTCCTCGCGTGAACGCGCTCCCTTCGGCTCTGTTGATGACAGAGGAGCGAGGGAGGAAACTGAACCGAACTGACCAGATAAACACGAAATGTACATTGACAGCATTGTTGTGGTTATTGTTAGCTTCATTAAGAGTCTATGTATGGTCTTTCCTACAGCGTTTGGAGTCGTGTGAATTCGTATGACAGTCATTTATACCAATATGAGTACAATAAACATAGCTATTGACTTTACAGCGTCCATATCAAAACCGAACTCAAACGTGATGATTACACAAGAGCTGGCGAGAGAGTTTAGGTATTCACCATGAATGTTGTAACCCTGCCAGTCAAAGGCAGCACAGACACACACATTTTAAGTAAATGCATTCATGTTTTGCTGTAATACATGTGGCAAGTGCTAATGCAGATTAGGATTCACATTGTAATTTAAAATAAATACATTTTGTTGCTTAGTTCGATCGCCCTTCAGTTTTCTACTCATGGTCATTGTAAATCAAAAATGTACAAATCTCATCTTAATTACATAAAATCGAAACATATTTAAATGTATTGAATAAATGTTTCTATTTACAACAAAATAACAGAAGTAGGAGTCACTAGCATTCATGTGGTGACAATAATATTATTCTATATGTTCAAGTTAGATTGTCTGTCATTCTCTTAAAATGTGTTGTACATAACTCTTGCATGGCTCTAAATACAGTTCATTTGCTGTGAAAAAAATGACGGTTTTAGTTTTTGTGGAGCAAGAGTTTGTTGAATAACTATATTTTTTGTGTCTACAGAGTAGAAAGATGTCCATACTAGAATTATTACATTTTGTAGTGCATATGCAAAACAGTTTAAATGAATAGGAGGTATTCAGGACACAGATTGGTTGTGTATTACTGCTTATCTACTAAAGGCCATTTTATTTGAGTGGAAGTTTTTCTTTGCTGAAGCACTACATTTTCGGTGGGCATATACATCAGTCGGGACCTCACAGTTGGTTTAAACTGCGCTAAGGACATACAAACATGCCACACATAGAAACTTAAGCTTTTTTTTTAAGTGTTACTGTTTATATCCTGCACTTAAGTTTTAACTTCCTTTATGATATACAGTTTTTGACTTCTACTTAGGAATGTTTACATTAGCACAATGGTCATAGATAAATATAGATAATTTTACCAATGTAAGACAGCAAAACACTATACATGTAACATGAATAATAGCTGACTTTCTACAAGGTCAAGGAGATGAACTTCTACTTGCTGTGTCACAAATCAGACACAGAATCCAAACTCTCATAACAATATACAATTCTACCAATAATGATAATACAAATGTCAATATATAATCACCAAATATTTGACTAGTATCTTGTGATTCCATGAAAATGTAAGGTGCAATATAAATCAAATAATCATTACTATTATTATTATTACTAATATTCAAAGGTCATTCATCTCTAGGGACACAGAGTCCCCTGAGAGGATACAGCAGAGAACTTTCCCACACAGATTCTCTTGACAAAGCGGCATGCGGTCCAAGTCCCTTTTTTGGAGGAAGAGCTGACAAAGAGGTACATTGTGTGAGATTTCATAACACTTTGAAGCAACTTTTGTTAAAGTTAAACTCATCATTCTATCAATGAGCAGAAGCCTGTACTTTTCCACTACTTGTTTTGACTATCTCTGCTGGCACTGTGGCAGCTGCGGATTGGAGGTCTCTGTTTCTCCTGAGTATATCACAACTTGCTGCCGTAACATCCCTTGTTTGTGTGCTTTGTTCGTGCTGTCTCTACCATTGACAATAAAACATGTCTTCTTTCTGAATGAAAGACACAATCTCAGACGTTGTCATCTTCTTCAATTGATTCAATTGGATGTCCATAGGGAAAAGTGGGAGGGGGTTTGACTAGGCATCTGGTCCACAAGGCCGGAACATTAGGTGTTGAGGATCAGTGCTTCTCTGAAATCAGACATTGCATTAAATCGTGAGATACTTCTGCAGGCCGCTCATCAATTACTCTAATAACTGTAATCTGCAAAGTACTCCACCTTGGCTCAGCTGGATTAGAAAGAATGGTGATGCGGTCCATGAGTCCAGGCTGGTCCTGCGGTCCATGAGTCCAGGCTGGTCCTGCGGTCCATGAGTCCAGGCTGGTCCTGCGGTCCATGAGTCCAGGCTGGTGATGCGATCCATGAGTCCAGGCTGGTCCTGCGGTCCATGAGTCCAGGCTGGTGATGCGATCCATGAGTCCAGGCTGGAAACCAAACGTCGAGAATGACTTCATTGCTTCTCTGAAATTAGAGAAGTTATTATGGATTTTTGAGTTTTGATACTTCAGCTAGTTTTAATTTGTTAGTAATCTGTAAAATACATTACTGTAAAGCAGACATTTAGGCACATGGGTTGGATCCATGGGTAATGCATAAGAGTTATAATAAGTAGGTAAACCATGTGGCAGCTAATTCCTTCAAACGTGCAATTTACAAGTTCTACAAATGTACTGTCTCAACTACTGTGTACCATAAATGTCCAACTTAACACAAGAAAGGAATAAAAGTAAAACGGTTGTTAATATAATAGATCCATGGGTTGTTCAGACGACATCTAGCTAGTCCAATTAATATTAGCAGGAGGCTAAGCTAGCAGGCTAGTACTCTGCTTATTGATCATGACATACAATATATATATTATTGTCTTTTTTAACCAGGTTGAAGTTACAAGTTATAAAATACATGACGGAACGCAGTGGATGTATGAAGGGGTATTAGCATAGCTAACAGATCCCCGCGCTGCTTATTATATTGCTCGTTTAATTAAACCAAAAATGAATTTACATTTTAATTTACCTGAAAAGTTGGAATTGATGCTTCGCACTACGAGATCCATTGGTGCAGTTGAAAGCAGAACACGAAGGCATTTTTGCGTCGTTCACTCGGGTCACCGTCAAACAAGGCAAAAGGGCCCGTGGGAAAGTTTGTGAAGTATTTATAGTGCCGCTAAGACCATTACAGGTGTTTTGATACATTTTGTACAAACTCCTCCCCCACTATTAAAACTCTGATCACTCAATTTTGAACGCACTTTACCCATGGATGACTTTACCACGGTCAACGCAAGGCAACGGGCTAGGTAAGTGTGAATAATTATTCGTATTTCATTTATGCAAAAGCGTTTTGTAATCATGCATTTATTTTGTCAGTATCAAGTTACAATGAATGGGCAGCAGCAGCGAACCAGCCAGATGCCATCTGTGCACATTGTTGAAGGTAAAATGCTGATATTGTCCGATTGAATGTTATCAACGAACACAATTTAATGTGTATTTGAATAGGACCCACCATATGGATTATTGGGGACAGTTACGTACGGCGTGGTCGCGACCGGGCAGCCGAGACCCTTGGTCACAATTTAGGGATGGCGGCCCACGTCCAGTGGTTTGGCCGCGGAGGACTCCGCTGGAGCAGCCTGGTGCCGTGGCTTTTTCGCTTGCTACGGGGACGGTCCGCCCCGGCTGTCCTGCTCATCTGCTGCGGCAGCAACGACCTCGGGAAGGTGAAGAGCGTGGACTTGGTCGCAGCGATGAAGCGGGACCTTCTGGACCTCCATAGGCGGTATCCATCGATGGACATTTTTTTTTCGCAACTGACCGATCGCCGCCTGTGGAGGGACGCCCAGCCGGGGCGGATCAATCGTGCAAAACGCTTTATTTAATAATGTTTTAAAAACGTTTGTGAGTGGCCTTGGCGGATGCATGGTCTGTCATCCTACCATAAAGTTTGACTGCCCTGGTCTATTTATTAGGGACGGAGTTCATTTCTCAAATATGGGGAATGACATTTTCTTAAACAATTTAGCCACAGCATTGAAAAATCACTGTCACTGTGTCTAAACTATTTGTTTTAAACACAGTGACAGTGCATTTTTCTGTTAGTGTATTTGAGTTTTAAAATAGTCAGGGCCTCATCCTTTGTGGTAGGATCACTTAGAATGATTGGTGAATGTGTGCGTGAATGACACATATTTTTACCTTCATCTTTTTTTTTTTTTTGGTTATCCCTGTTGTTATTATGTTCTACGTGTTTTGTATATAGCCATTTTTAATAGAATCACTGCTTTTCATTTTTTTTGTAGATTAAAAATCACAACAAATGCAACTTGTTTTTTATAATTTAATTTGAAAGTATAAATATGATAACTTATAAATAAATACACAGTAACATAATTTCCAGAGTTAAGCAAATGAAATAGATATACATACTTGAATATCCTATTATAGACAGCTGAAACAAATACGTGGCTTAACTAGTTTTGTTTTATTTAACCAGAAAAGTCCCATTGAGATAAAGAACCCCTTTTTCAAGGGAGTCCTGAATATATACTCTACCGTTCAAAAGTTTGGGGTCACATTGAAATGTCCTCAATGTTGAAGGAAAAGCTGTAGATAACTTTAAACTAGTCTTAACTGTAAAGAAATACACTCTATACACTGCTTATGTGGTAAATGACTGCTGTTCTAGCTGCAAATGTCTGGTTTTTGGTGCAATGTTGTAATTGCTGCAAATGGAGGATTCTTTGACAAAAGCAAAGTTGGATGTAAAACAAATCTTATTTCTAATACAAATCATTATTTCTAACGTTGTCAATGTCTTGACTCTATTTTCTATTCATTTCACAACGTGTGGTGGTGAACAAGTGTGACTTTTCATGGAAAACACACACACACATATATATATATATATATACATACATAATGTGTGTGTGTATATAGAGAATAATACTTATTAATTACGTTAATATAATAATTACAATTCACGAGGACAAAAGACTAAATCATAGCTTTTTGATCTATCCACAATGGTCTTAATTATCTTGCAGTACTTGTTAACACATCACTGACATTTTGCTTAAAACACGGCGGCCTACAGGTGAATGCCACAGTATAAGCGTTACGAAAAAGTATATAATCATTGTACATTTAGCTTATCATAAATACTTAGTAGATAATGATTAAGAATCAACAACAAGAAGGCTCTGTCATACTGCTCTACACCATCTTAAAATAATTGATCAATTGTACATATATTTTAATATCAATCTTTACTTAAACAGTGATAGAACTTAATTCGCTCGATTCATGCGCGTTCACGGGTCTGTGGTGCTGCACGCTCCCGCTTGAGGTCCGCGTTCTCGTCGTTCGAGGCACAAAGCATTATGGGAGGTCATCCACTGCGCATAACCGGGAGGACCCAGAGGATGCCCAAATACAGGCGATTTTCCCATAGAGCTTTGCGAGTTTCAGGCAACTTCCGCCAATATGTCAGCGACCGTGCCGTCACAAAGCGCCACTGAGCACAACCATTCATTTGAATAGGGCGCCATCTTGAATCGCCGGGGCTTGATGTGGGGCAGTAGTCAAGCGTGTGGCGGCTGCAGAGAGACGATATCCGGGCTGGGCTTGAGGGACTTACAGGGTCAAAATAAAGATCATCAGTAGTTGTGGAAGTTGAAGGCTAAAAGCGAGAGCATACTTCGTAACAACAGTCTCCATAGTGATAGGAAGGTTTCATGACATGGCAGTTTCAGCAACAGGCAGTTAAAGGTATGTAGGATTTTCTACTTCCGGGTGGATCATCAAGACGATTGGTTCTCCCAGTTGTCATTCTGGTGATGCGTGCTTGTCCAATAGATGGATGGAGATTGATGCCAGCCTGGTGCTCTATGTAGATTTTGGGAGAATACCTTATTAAAGTTAAGGAGCCAATTTTTTGAACATGTCTCTGGATAATTTAAAATGCACTTACGCAACCCAAAACTGCAGCCCAAAAGGATGTTATGCACATTTGATTTGTTAAAATTCAATTTGAAGAATAGTATTTTGTTTTTGTTTTTTTTATACAAGAACAATATTTCCCTTGCCACAGAAGTGTGAGCACTAATAAACATTGCATAAAGAAAAATCACCCAGTATCAAATTAACATGAAAACTTGTGGTTTGGCGAGTTTGTAAAAAGAACGAGAGCATACTTCATAACAACAATCTCCATAGTGATAGATAGGTTTCATGACAAGGCAGTTTCAGCAACAGACTCTCTCCCTGAACAGTTAAAGGAGGATTATCTACTTCCGGGTGGATCATCAAGACGATTGGTCCTCCCAGTTGTCATTCTGGTGATGCGTGCTCGTCGAATAAGACCTGAGAGTTTTGCTCAAAAAGTAGAGAGGGAGGTTCTTTCCTAAAAATTGGGAAAATCCTCCCATATAACTTTAAGATTAAAGATTAAGAGATCCTTTATCTGTCCCACAGTGGGGAAATTTCGGTGTTGCATCACAAGTTATAGAACAGTAGGAAAGGAGAGTGTTAAGTGGACAATAGCTATACTAATTAAAAGTAAAATTTAACACAATCAGTTTTTTTTGTCCATAATACGCACTGGGGAATTATAAAGAGTTGTTCTGGTTAACGTGAAGACCCTGTACACTTTTCACACACTGTAATATTTTAGACAGTTACACAATGCACCCCTTGGGTATCAAATAGAGAAATCAGAACCGTTGGCAATTGTTCAAATTGTTCTTTGGATTATCATTTCTTACAACAAGTGGAAACATTGGGAATCTGCAAATGTTAAACTGAATTTATTTTAAAATTAAACAATGCAGATGAATAATGACATAAATTTTATGAGCTATTGTGGAAAAGTAACAGCGATAACCGAGTACAAATCACTCGTAACATGGTAACTTAACTACTATAAACTTGGTTAACATAACTGCAATCAAACAGCACCTTTTGGAATAAACAAACCTAAACACAGACCACACATTTAACATTAATCATGCCGGTAATTGGTGCTGTTAAATTATACACACAAGTGAGGGACCATGAACTCGCCCATTAAAATGTAGCTGCAGGTAATTGCAAAAAATAAATAAGTCATAAAATTAAGAACTATACAGTGTCAGTGTGTTTTTTTCTCTCACATTAAAAGCAAACAAATATCCACTTGAACGCTGAGGTAGTTTGTTCATGAATTGACAGTTGTTACGTTGATCCTTCTTGAGGTAAACTGTCATCATTTTGTCCCTTTGTGATATTTCTTTGTATTTCTATATTATATGCCCAGGCTCTGTCCACACCAAGCCCCTCTACTCTGCAGGGAGTCCAGTCGGGAAAAGGAAAACGTCCAGCTATCACCAAGGCATCATGAGGAAGTTCAGCCAGTAGCTTCTTTTGCAGTAACGAAAGCTGCAAACCAAGAGAAGAGAGAATAAATACAAGATGCCTCCAACACTTTTGAAATATTATAGATTACTCACCACACTTGGAGCCAAAAACACTGTAATATTCTTGCATTTGGATAGATCCACCTGCAATCAATTACAATCAAGATGGTGTGCTTATGTAATAATCATTAGCAGCATTATTTTAGGTATCGTCCAACCTTGTTTTTCATAAATAATACATGTTGTGCGTCTTGTAGCCTTTTAAAGTAAAATTATGTGATGTCTTTATTTGATTTGAAAACATGCAGGAGTCCCGTGAGTCACTTTTTGACGCTTTGGCTTGAGAGCTGTTTAGAGAGCCAGAAACGAGTGAGAATGGATTTTATTACATACTTTGAACCCTATAGATACCCCAGCTCAAGACACTCAAAGATATACCTTCCAAAAATCTTCTCTTCTATATGACACTTTTTCATGATGGCCCGTTCTCCAGGCTTTGAAGCGGGACAAATAAACAAGCCAAGGATTGAGTTCAAAGCCAACAGCAGGTGTGAAACCATGACGATAGGCTTCTAGTACCTTCAAAATACACAAACATTTCAAATAGAGGAAACGCAATAGTGAGAAGCTTGCATGATTCTTCAGTCCGTCGGTACACTCACAATGCGTCCGTCCCCAGATCCTAAATCAACAATACTGCCTTTTCGACCTTTCAGAAGCGTCATAACATTACGTACTTGAGATGTGCTGGCCGGTATGTATGGAACCTGAAAGATATCAAGAACTTTTTGGTACAAGATACAACAGCAACAGTTTGAGGATTCAAGACAAAAGCCCTACTTGTAGTTTTAAAGGAACTCTTCGAAAACCAGGCTGTAGAATTCCCACCCACATGGCATAGACTGCAAGACCAGTGCCGGCTGCGATTTGAGCAACATCTGAAGCTCCCAGTGATCTGGTCTTAAGCTCCTCAAAGGCCTCGATGGTGGAACTCTCATCATCCATTTCTGCAGATATGTGGTAAAAGTGTAATAACCAAGGATGAGAGTTCTAAAGAAAAAAAAAGCATGCATTAGAGGCGCATCAATAAGGCAAAATATAATTTATTTTGGATTAACATTGAAATTTTATGAATTTAATCAACAGTAGTTTGGGCGGCACAGTGGCTGAGTGGATAGCACTCTCGCCTCACAGCAAGAAGGCCCTGGGTCCGGATCCCGGTCGTACAGGGCCTTTCTGAGTGGAGTTTGCATGTTCTCCCCATGTCCGCGTAGGTTTCCTCTGGGTACTCCGGTTTCTCCTACCACTAGAAACATGCACAATAGGTCTGTCATGCGCCTCCTGTACTGGTGACCCCGCTCCCATCTCTGTGTGGAGTGAGAGACAAATGCCCAAAAAACAATTGTAAACCACTTTGTGACTCTGGTCTGTGAAAGGCGGTATATAAATAAAGATTACTTAATTGATACAAGATAATCACACATCTCCAATCAAAACAGTAAATAGTACAATAGATTTGTTTTCCATTTTTAGAGACTTATTTGGAGTAGTTCTAAAATATATATTTGTTTAACATTTTTACTATCTCTACTGGTAAAAAACCCCGAAGTATATTTAAACCAAGATACATGATTTCATGTTGATCCCCAATTTTAGGCAACATTGCCATTTCTTCTACACCCTTTTATGTATCATTTGTTTGAAAAGTACTTGAATAATGGCAGCAATTGTGATTTGATGAATGCAACCAACATTCTTGTTGCCCTTCTCAGCTTCACATATTCACAAAGTTGTTAAGCGTTTATTACAGTGCTTACAGTCTATGGTTATTACGAAGGTGGTACAGGTCATTCTCAGTTTTCCACGTTAACATAAACAAACGCCTCAGACATATCTGCAAACATATTATATAGTGGAAAGTAATTTTAATAAGGCCAAATGTAAACGTCAGTATGTGGCAATCGAAATAAAATCTGTAAAACTTGCGGTGAGGGGGACACGTCTCCTGGTCGCACCGTTGCGTCTGAAACTCGGTCGGCGGATGCCAAAGGACAATAGTTCCGCTTTGGCACCAATGTTTACATTATCAACACGACGTAAAAACAACACCACCTTAATAGTTAAATGTTTATTAAATTGAAAATAGTTCATAAAAACCCGTAAATATAAAACACCTATATACATTTCCTGAACATAAGTAAGTCATGTTTTTTTTAGTCACTCTCTCCACCATCACTGATAATTCCTTGGAGGTTATTCCAGTTGGTTTTCCGTGAGACTTTATGAGACTGCTGCTGGTCACTGTCAGAGTCTGAATCCAGTGTGCGCTGGAATGTAGAAGCCGGGGTCTCCCTCTGCCTGTGCCAGGGTAAAGCAGCCTGTCTTTTAGGTCGACCTGGGACAGCCAATGTTTATTTTTAAATCCATGATACAGTGTAGAATAAAGTGAAACATGATACAATTTATACCTGTTATTATGTTGCTGGTATCAAGCTCAGACAGCTCCTGAGCCCTCTCCCTCTTTTTTCGGGCCTTTTTGCACTTCTCTATAGTAGGCGTGCCTAAAATTATAATGTAATATTTAATTAACCAAATTTAATCTCAATTAACGTACATTTGCTAAAAAGTTCACACAGACCTTTGACTCCAAGATCTTCCAGCTCCTTGTTCAGTCTTGCTGCCATGGATTTAACAGTACTACAGTTCTCCAGCATTTTCTTATAATTTCTTTTCACGCCACAGAGAGTGATGTAGCGTTTAAGCCTCACCAAAGATTTGTGATCCTCCTGAGAAAACAAACAAAGAACAAAGGTCATTTAAGGGACACATGTTCCGCTTGAGAATCAGCACCTCCAAATCTGAGGCCATGGTGCTCACCTCTTCAATTCAATTCAATTCAATTCCATTTTGTATAGCCCTAAATCACAGCAGTATTTATCTCTGAGGACTTTACAAGGTTTTTGATTTGCCAACACAGATCAGAGAATCAAACAGTTCAAACACAGGAAATGCAACGATAAAAACACTGAGCCATTGGTCAGTTTAAAGAATACATATTACACATTCAATTTGTTCAGTAAAACATGAGACAATTTACACTGTCCTACAGTGTCTGCGTAGGTTTCCTCCGGGTACTCCGGTTTCCCCTACCACTAAAAATATGTACAATAGGTCTGGCATGCGCCTCCTGTTCGGCGACCCCGCTCCCATCTCTGTGTGCAGTGAGAGGACAAATGCCCAAAAAATAACAATTGTAAACCGCTTTGTGACTCTGGTCTGTGAAAGGCGGTATATAAATAAAGCTTACTTACTTACTTACTTACTAATACCCGAAACTAAATGGTGAAACAAGCATCAATGTAAATAACCCCATCTCTACCACCAGATGGTGTAGATTTTTGGATTTATTTTTAAAATTACATTCTTTGCCATGTGATTGCAATGAATTAAATTTCACATGAAAAATTTCCAAAACGCATTTATGGGCAATACTGCTCTGAGTGATGTCATGGTGGTATGGGACTGAAACAGAAGCAGCAGAGTTACATGTTTGTGCCAGAACTTCCTGGTATTGGATGGATGAATGGATTTTAAAACTCCAGGTCTGCTTTTCATGAGGAACAGTTTTGTAACGTGGTTAGAAGTTCAACAATGTCGATTTTCGTTATGAGTCTCCTTTAAAAAACATGCTAACCTCAGTGTCAATCTATGAATAAAAAAATAAATATAGCACACCTTTTTACCTGTTGACTTCTTCTCCTTCTTATTACCCTTTTCCTTAACCACAGAAGGCCTTTCTTTTTTTTCTTTTTTGTAGTCTGTATCGTCGTCCAAAGAGGGCAGTGAAGAGGAATCAGAGTCCGGCTCCTCAACTTTTCCCTTCGCTCCATTCTCTTACAAAACAAAACACAGTCAGGATATTAGTTTTGATAATCTTTTAAAATCACTAATATTGTGCCTGTTGTACATACCTTTAGCACTTTTGTTTGAAGACGCATCTTTTTTCCCATTTTTCCTTGAATGATCCGAGCAGGAATCGTCTTCACTGTCACTTTGCGATTTTGCATTTTCTTCGTCTTGTTTTTTCCCCTCGACTTCAGATCCATCACTGCTGACGTCATCTTGTTCTTTACTCGTGTTCTTACTTAGCGTTGTGTTCTTTTCACCATCGGATTCCGAAGAAGCACTTTTGTTACTGTTATCTTTTCGTGGACTTTTACCCAGGGATGTTTCAGCTTCCATCTCATCGCTACCATCATCACTTTCCTTTTTACCAACATTTTTCTTAGTTTTGACAGATGCGTTGTCTTGATGGCCTTTTTCTTCCTCAGACTCCTCACTGCTGTCTTGCCTTGGATTGACCGATCCCTCTCTCACTGGCTTCTTTTTTGAATTCCGAGGCGCATTAGTCTTTCTGCCGTTTGGCTTTTCTCTTTTAGCGGTCGCTCTGGGTACTTCATCCTCTGAATCGTCGCTGCTTGTCACGGTTTTCTTCTGTTTAACCACCATTTTCTTCTTTTTTACAACAACTTTGTCTTCAGAACAATCACTGGCCATGTGGCTGTTTTTATCCTCGGATTCTAAAGACAACAAAAAAGATTTCAACGTTATAAATAATTTACCATTAATATTTACGTTACATTAAGTCTAGCTGATTTTTAAGTCCCACGACACATCAGCAATCATACAAGATTTCACCAATTTTTGTTTGGTTTTGTCATTAGAAGGGACTGCCCCCACAGGCGAAAGTAAGATTTTGGGCATAAGATTCAAGATGGTAGAAGCTGCCAAAAGACCGCAGTTTTCTATAACAGTAAGCCACAAAAACCTGCACTGGGAGAAAAAACCTCATTGTTGTGAGGAGGGCTGCCTTGTTGACATGGAAACACGTGCTGCTACAACATAGGAGTGAAATCCGACTTGTGATACATGCATCCATCATTGATGACTAATAACAGCAATCTACATCAGCTCTGCTAATATACATGTTGTACCATTTCAAAATCATCATTCAGGCAACGCCAGCCCTGCCAAATGTAATTCAATATTTTCATGTCTTTTTTTACAACCCGTATATTGGCTTGGCAAAACTGGGCGAGTGAATTCTCAGAAGATCTTTTTATAAACCCAATCCAATACAAGAAACATACCAGCTGCAGATCCAGACTCATGACGAGATCTCTTGGCCCTGGATGAGTCGCCTGCCTCACTTGCACTCTCCTCCCATTCACTCACACCTTCTCTTTTCCGTTTAGAAGGAGTCTTGCTCTCGGTTTTCATAGGGCTGTTTTCATTGTCCTATCAAGGAATTCAAAAACACAAAAATTAAAGCAAAAGGTGACAGAAAACACAATAATCACAGAGATGGGCAGTTTTAAATCTCTGCACTCTATACCAGACCTGGGCTGAGGGCCCGATTCATGTTTCTTTGGCACCCGAAGACCCTTCCCAGCATAAAAGAATATCAAAACGATATTCAACAATATGACAAGTTTCTCAAATACCGTAATGATAAAAATATGAATGGAAAAAAGGTTCAAACTAAACAATAGATGAGCAACAAAGATTCCATATTTCCCATTACTTCTTTACTTGTTTGTTTAGCAAATGTAACATTTTAGAACTGAAGTAGTATTCACATTCAAAAGTAAATTACTTTTTTTTTTTTATGTGGCAATATTCCAATATCCCTGAGAGAAAACCATTGCCCACCCTAGCTCTATATGCTAACAAGGAAAAGAAACAGAAGTTGTAATTGTAAGCACAAAACAAGTTCTAACATCGATGTTATGAAAGAGTACTATTCCTGAATTCCTTTTAGATAAGATAAGAGATCCTTTATTTGTCCCACAGTGGGACAAGTATGTTTTATATGAAGCAGAAAAGATTGAACATTTTCAGAGACACGTAGCAACTAAAAACATGAAATATAAATATAAAGAAATTAAAACAAATAAAAAATGAGAAAAACATCAGACTGTGTATTATTACTATATACTATGCATTAGTACTATATATTATTTATAGAATATTTAAAAAAAAATGTAAATGCAGTCGGACAGTGATTTTGGGCGTCACGTCATTGACCAGTATATAGTATACTGTATACAGCTGATTATTTTCCCCCTCAAATATGTTGTTTCAGATGTAGCTGAAGTTACAACTGTCATCACACACCATGATCCGGGCCAGCTCCTCCTTCACCACCTCCTTCATAAAATGTTTGGCCTCAGAGCTCAAGGCTTCGGCGGAGACCTGCTGCAGATAGCGCTGCTTCAACACGCCGATGGTCAGAGAACTGGACAAAAGCATGGAACAGACATACAGTTAGTGAAATATCTTACAGGTCAGAAGTAGCAGTCCTAATGTTATGCCCGGGCAGATGCATGGACAGCAGATATTAGAGCAGACACATAGACAGTAGATATTAAGGCAGATACATAGACAGTAGATATTAGGGCAGATACATAGACAGTAGATATTAGAGCAGATGCATAGACAGTAGATATTAGGGCAGATACATAGACAGTAGATATTAGAGCAGATACATAGACAGTAGATATTAGAGCAGATACATAGACAGTAGATATTAGAGCAGATACATAGACAGTAGATATTAGGGCAGACACATAGACAGTAGATATTAGAGCAGATACATAGACAGTAGATATTAGAGCAGATACATAGACAGTAGATATTAGAGCAGATACATAGACAGTAGATATTAGAGCAGATACATAGACAGTAGATATTAGAGCAGATACATAGACAGTAGATATTAGGGCAGATACATAGACAGGAGATATTAGAGCAGATACATAGACAGTAGATATTAGAGCAGATACATAGACAGTAGATATTAGAGCAGATACATAGACAGTAGATATTAGGGCAGATACATAGACAGGAGATATTAGAGCAGATACATAGACAGGAGATATTAGAGCAGATACATAGACAGTAGATATTAGAGCAGATACATAGACAGTAGATATTAGGGCAGATACATAGACAGTAGATATTAGGGCAGATACATAGACAGTAGATATTAGAGCAGATGCATAGACAGTAGATATTAGAGCAGATACATAGACAGTAGATATTATGGCAGATACATAGACAGTAGATATTAGAGCAGATACATAGACAGTAGATATTAGGGCAGATACATAGACAGTAGATATTAGAGCAGATACATAGACAGTAGATATTAGAGCAGATGCATAGACAGTAGATATTAGAGCAGATACATAGACAGTAGATATTAGGGCAGATACATAGACAGTAGATATTAGAGCAGATACATAGACAGTAGATATTATGGCAGATACATAGACAGTAGATATTAGAGCAGATACATAGACAGTAGATATTAGGGCAGATACATAGACAGTAGATATTAGAGCAGATACATAGACAGTAGATATTAGGGCAGATACATAGACAGTAGATATTAGAGCAGATACATAGACAGTAGATATTAGAGCAGATACATAGACAGTAGATATTATGGCAGATACATAGACAGTAGATATTAGAGCAGATACATAGACAGTAGATATTAGGGCAGATACATAGACAGTAGATATTAAGGCAGACACATAGACAGTAGATATTAGGGCAGATACATAGACAGTAGATATTAAGGCAGACACATAGACAGTAGATATTAGAGCAGATACATAGACAGTAGATATTAGTGCGAATCGATTGCTCTTCAAGTTTAGCACAATATCAGAATAACAATGCAGATACATCTTTAGGACGATACCTGAGATCCGGTTCATCGCGAAGCTGCGAGCAAACGAACTTCCGAATGTTTTGAGACTCCTTTTCTGTCACCGTCATTTTGGACAGGCAGGTTTGGCGCGCCACTACCCGGAAGTACGTCATCAAGTGAGCGACACCGAAAAGTATCAAAATGTTTTTTTTCTTTCGTTCATTTTCTGGCTTTGTCTTAGATCTATTGAATTTTATTTAATCATTGTATGGTTTTTACACATTGACTGTGTTAAATATTTTATAATTATATACAATGTGTGTGTATATATATATATATAGTATATAAAGACAAGAATAATCTAACTTTAAACAGATTTCAAATACAAACAATAAGTGAAAAGTCTCATATATATTTTTTTTCAAATAATTTATTTGTTAAACAAGCTTTGACAACCAAAAATTGGACGGAGGTTGAATTCGTGCAATCCTTCAAAGGTGACTCTCTGAAAACTACCAGTCATATTGCTCCAAAGCACCTATTTAATTAGGATCTTGGAAATTATTAAATAAAAGTCTCTTTTAACATCACAGTAAATGTAATTTGCCTAAGACAATATAGTAAATGTTATGGCTCAAGGTAAAATCAGAAACAAAAACAAACCGACAACAGGAAAAAAAAAACAATTAAGCATTTACATTGTAAAAATTAAGTGCATCATTCACATGTTAACATGCATTTTGCATATTGTACAAAAGTTAAATATCAAACAAATAAATTACGGATATAAATTAATTGAGTAGAAACATCCTGAAAAAGCTGCTCAACAACAACCACCACATTTCCAGTGTTTAGCCTAGTGAAAGCAAATTAGGCGGTTTTAATTCTATGTAATAACACTTAAACGGGCTGAAATGTCAGTGGATGAAACCTCAGTCGATTTTGAAATGTACTATTGGAGCCAGCTTTTGTTGTGAGATTTTACAAGCATTCTTTCCTTTCCATTTTTATGTACTTACATTTGTTTGATGGGACTGTAACCTGTGCACAAGGAAGTGACCCATATCGTTTTGGGGATGAATAAATATAATATGTACCATCATTCATTTGTTTGCAGTACCTTCACATTTGGCCAGTTACTATAATGAGTATATTGATGTCATTTCTCTAACAACAGATAAATCAATATATGCGTTGTCCGACCGAAAGTATTGCACCGTTTATGTATTGCTGCACATTTTAGAAGTAAAATCGAAATAAAAAAAGACATTTTTTATGTGCCTTGTCCCCATTCAAACCTAATTTGTTATGGAGACAGGTTTTGATTCATGTAAACATGCCTTTTAAGCACAACCAAAATCTCCCTCTGAAATCACAGAGTTAAATCACACATCCAATGAAAGTCGATAAACTATGCTATTGCCAAGATCAGCAGCCTTCTTCCCTCTGGGCGTCCTTCACTAGTCCTTGTACACAGTCTGTTGGCCGTGGCCCCTCTCGTCGTGCATGATGTGGCGTCTCACGTGGATTCTTCGGACCCTGTGGTCTCCCCCCGTGCCCCCCTCCTCTTCAGACTGTCCAGCTCCGAGTGATGGCCCCTTTGAATCCAGGAGATGCACTCCCCCCGAAATTCTGCTATTCTCATAAATCAGAATGTTCAGGGTTTCTTCAAAGATCCGGGCCTCTGGAAACTCCACCTAAAATAAAAAGAAAGAATACATTTCATCTTCTTTTTAACGTGTAAGTGTGCAGATGATGGGTTACACTTTCATTGGTGTTTTCAAGGTGAATTAGTGGTAAATATTCATATCAATATGCATGAGCCAAATAACAGAGTAACAAAAGATCCTTAATCTTTCATAACAGTTGTGTGAATAGGATGTGGCTCTTGTTTACTTTGTGGTTGTTATGGTAACTATCTCTACCATCTGTACGAAAAAGTTCTGCAACGGTTGAATATTGTTTATGTGTTTCATATGAAGGCTTGAAATATCTCAATTAAATATATGTAAATATATCATGTTCCACAAAAGTGCATTTCACACATACCAAAGCTTTTACGTTCAATATTTTTACTAAAAATAATTTGCCAATTGATATTCTCTTGTTTTGTTGTGTTCATTCTCAGTGTGAAGGAGGAGGGGGGAGTTGACCAATATGATTTTTCAGGGCCGATATAGATGCTGATAATTAGCAGTAGGAAGAAATTCATTTGCTGTAAAAGTGAAATTATTGTTTTGAATAATACATACTTCAACCCTTTATTTTGTTTAAAGACCTGGAGCGAGCACATATTTAACAAAACAATCAACCAATGGATCAAAATAATAGCTCCCACTGAAAGCCATGTCACTGCACGCACACTTGGGGCACGAGTAACAGCACTAAAACCTTTGTAACAGCAGAGTTGGAGAGATTTCAAAGCCATTATTTGTATTTGATGTGACTGTATCAAAATGAAGTGTCCTGTTTTAAGTAATTTGGACCAAAAAAAAACTATGAGCTCCTGAACTTAACTACTTAGCTACAATCTGGTGTATTTACAGTTCCTGCTTTTCATGAATACACACTGTTCCATCCAAATACACAGATAAATGCAAATACAAACTAAACTAATCAGTGTTTTTGCACATAAGGCTGTTACAACATATATAAAAACATATGGATATTGGTGCTGATAGTGGTCTCCCTGAGAGTGAGCAGTTTGAAGACTGTTTGCGGCTCCTCTCACCTTGGTCTGCTTCTTCTCAGTGGCGTAGACAATAGACGTGCAGCAAACCTCCGCGATCTTTCGTCCTTCTCCGTAAAACGACCAGCAGCAGATCTCGTCCCCGAGCACGTCCTTCACGAAGAGCACTCGGCCGTTAAACCGTAAGACTAGTTTGTCAAACAGCTCGATGTTCTTGAGCAGGTTGTCATCAGAGTTACTGACCAAAACAATGGGCACAAATTAAACTCAGGTCCGCATCTTGTGAAGCTTGTGAACAGCGTCTGCACTTTACCTGGTGTATGAGTATTTGTTATTCCCTCTGTTGTTCTGAAGCTTCACAACAGGCTGTGGAAATGTAAACACAAGCCGTCATATTTGAGTTGTGTGTTGTATAATGGGATTTTCAACACAGTTCCCCACCTTCCTACATGTGGAAATCATCTTCTGCTCTTCTTTGGCTGAGGTGATCATCGGGATGCGGCACACAGTCTCCAAAATATCTTTTTGTTTCTGCAAAAAGTTATATTACAAACTTAGATTAGATGAAGATCAATACAGTTTTCACCAAATATTTCAGAAATATTGGTACAATCTACTAGTATTCTGTTCATTGTCATCTGTCATTCAACTTTTGATGATTCAATTAGTAACAAGCAAGTAGTAATTGATTATTGTAAATGTTAGTTTTTTAAATTAAACAACCCAATGTGTGTTTTGGACTAATGTAGAAAATCTCCCGTATTCACTTATTTTTCGGATCTAAACTAATTCATCACAGTAAAAGATAGATCGGCCAACTTATTGATACTTTATTAAACTCTTACTTTGGGATATTGGCAAACTTTGAATGGAATTTTTGCGTTCCTGAAAACCTTCCAGATTTCTATAAATACTCAAGACAAGATGAATGGCTTTTGGTACGTTTCCTTATAAGTGAGGATCCTAAAAAGAATGGATTCAGTGGTTGTAAAAGACCCACATGTTGAGGCAATTTGTGATTTTAAAGATTTTTGAAGTAGAATTTGTGTTTAATCTTGTATTCTATCAGCAGCAACAACAAACCTGCATGGCACTGAGGCAATGCTGGATGAGCCCCTGAACTCGATAGTACTGAGCATCCTTTAAAATATCTTCCAGTTCTCGGTGGTCATCTGGAAGTGGAACAGACCCATCTCGGAGAAAGTTCAAAACGATTGAGAAATGTCGACCACATCTATCCAAAACCACCCATCCTTCAGAAGAAACCACAAATACACAAATGAATTAAAACCAGTTGTAAAATGATTTGGATTCATGTAGAGGAGCAGTCGCAAACCTTCAGCATCGATGGTTGCATCAGTTTCTCCGTTGCAGATGCTCCGCAGTAGACTCTCCTCTTTGCTCAAAGTCTGGACTGTGGTGTAATGCAGAGAGCCACCAACATTCAACTTGACATATTTACTGCCCAGAAGACCCCTGTGTGAACAGTCCTCTGTGCTGGGGGACACACACTGAGCAGAGACAGCAGCATGACTGCCAGCTGAAGCCTCAGCAGACATGAGGATGCAAAGGCCCCTTCTGAAAGCACAGAGGACAATTACAATAGTGACAGAGCGTGGAAAACTGAGAACTGGGTGTGCTTCTGTGTATTTTGCCTATTGATTTATCTAGCATTTTCTTGTTGCCGCCAAATATATTCTCAATTTGACAATGAAGTGAAACCTAAACATGAAAAACAAGACACTTACATAATTTCTGATACAGATAATGGTACAGCTCTGTTTGAGTCTTAAAGTCACAGTATATGTGGAAGTCTCTATCTAGAGCAGTTAACGATTAATCAATTACACAAATGGTCTATAGAAAAACTCAATTACAGCCTTACTTCTATGTTGTTGGTTGCAAGTTACCGGTAATAGTGAATGGTAGCATTGTAATGGTACATTTCTATTCTATTTACCGTATTGAGAAAATCACTTTTAATCTTTCATTTCTCATAGGGGATTATTTTATTCTTCATTCAGGATTTATATGTGTTTGCATTACACCTTCCAGCTGTTGCAACAGTGCATTTTTCAGTAATGGGACATTATCATAGGGATATAGGATATTAGCTAATAACTACTAATCACACTGAAAGCTCAACAATTGTACTTGACTTTTGGAAACAAAACTCGGACAATATCAAAAAACAAACACTGGGAGGATTACGAAGCTTTTAACATGTACTGCTGTGATATTAAAGATTAGAACGTCAAAAGCCAGTCCCATCTGTCAGAATGTGGACTTTGTACTCACCAGAATTAACATCCAAGGATCAGCAACAATCGGACAAAACACTCAAATGTATCTGGAAGGTCCAACATATAATGAATAATTAAAGCAAAAATAATAAACTTTGATTCGCTTCTTAAAAATGGTTTCGATCTAACAGGCTCATTTTCATTAGCAGTCACTTAGCTTAAGCAGCTAAATGCAGTCACTTAGCAAGGTGCTTAAAGCTAAAGAAAGCTAAAGCTAAAGAGAAAAAACACTCATGTGATTGTTATTTTTTTAGGTAACGTTTAAAACAGTCACGTTATGGTGAAATTAAAAAATTACTGATAATGAGCTCTGCACTAAAGAATTTGTTGTGCTCCAAAAATAGACATATTGTATATTTAAAAGCGATAATGTAAATTTTGAAATTTTTCTTACAATGAAATTTGTAAAGCATATTTATTTGTCCTTGAATTTTTAGTGAACTGAAATGCAAACAGCTTTTCAGAGTTAAAATCTTCCAAAAAATGTAATATAATGTGAATACTTTAAGGTACTTACCATAACTTTACATACAAAGTTTGTAACATTACTATAAAGTACATTACTATGACTTTAATAGTAGTGTACCATTTAACTATTCAAAATTATATTACTTTTTTATTTTAAAAAGTGTAGCTAAATCAGTAAAAAACTAATATTTAGTAACTTGAATCAGATTACATCTAGAATAGAATAGAATTGAGATGATGACGTGTTCTTGTTTGTTCAATGCATTGTGCTTCTTCACAAGACGTTGTTTGGACCAACATTTTATATTTTGCACTTTGGGAACTACTCAGAACTGAAAATCAACTTACAATCATGTCCAAATACTATCTAGCATCAAATACATTTTAACCCGTTACATTACTTTTTGCTATTTAAGTTACACATTAAAGAAACTTTACAATTGTTTACACAAAGAAAAATCCTCCATAAAACCTTGTTCCTTCTTATCTCAACTGTAGCTAAACTTTGTCTTTGTCCTTTTATGCCATATAGTGCAGTTTCTTATGACCGGTTTGTCTAAACCACTGGTGAAACGTCCATACACTTTGTAAAGTTTTTTCCGGTCAGATGTTTGCGCGAGCCACTCGACTTCTTCCGGTTGAGACAGGAAAGTGTCAAAATAAAATGTTCCTACTGATGTTCATACAACATCAGTTACAGTACTGATTTCCACTAGTGGCCAGCATTATGACTCGCAACACACGTCACAACTCATCAACGCAGGTGTTGTCAAAAGTAAGCAGTACCTGCAGGGCTGCTCTGGCACCTTTTTAGTAAACTTTTTAACAACTTTTTAGCGCGTTTTTATTGTTCATTTTAATAAACCTGAGGTGTTTTAGTCTTTTTAATTTCAGTGGTTTTCAGCAAATAGCACTTAGTCCCGACTGAAACCCACTAGTAGCACAGAGGCTAACACAAGCTAACGAGGACTAGGAAAGTGACAATGAAATTTGCTCAAATATGCACAATTTAGTCGCCCTCACCTTGGAGCTCCGTGAGAGCGACCGTTCCACCATTGCAGATCTAAACGAAAAGAAAAAGTCCTTCGTCTCTACCGCAGAGTTGAATGAGAAACAATCTCTAGTGTCCCAACTTTTTGAAGTCGCTGGTTGGGCAGCACTCACGGCTGATGTCGCTGAGCGCTGCATATTGTGACACTGCGTTGTGGGAGAGATCCGTCAGCTCCGGACCCTCCTGTTTCTACAACCTAAGCGCCCGCTTCCGAAAAACGAGCCACGCGGATTCCGAGAGCATCTCTCTGCGCCGTGGCCCATGTCCTGCGTCGGCAAACCGCTATGCCAGCCCTCTCCCACCGACATCCCGGCCCCCTCAAGCAGAATCCCTGGACACTGGGGCAGTGTTACTCCTACTGCTCGAGGATCCCAAGTCCACTGCGAGGAAAACGCTCCTAAAGGAAGCAGTCCTCAGGCGAAAGAGCGGTCCCTCCAGCCATGTTTGGCCTGTTCCCCTTCGTTTGACACCCCAGTTGCAGCTGACTCAGACGGGGGTAGCCGAGCCATCATCACCACCGCTCACCTCCACCGGATCATCAGCAGCGCCCAGAGCCAGCCCCTCTCTACCGCGTCCAGCGTCCCCGAGCACACAGCGTGGGTCCGCCTTAGCTTGATAGTCAGCACCCCAGCATCCTCCTCTCCATAGTTTCGACGGCGCTTCAGGCTCGGGGTCCTGCTTCGGGTGGAACCGCTGTTCCGTCCACCGAGCGCCTTCTCCGAGGCCACTCTTCGCCCCGACCACTCTGATTATTGAGATTCCATCGTGAGACCACGCCCGCTTCTTACCGCGTCACTCTCTGTATCCCGGAGCTACTGTTCCAACCTGCTCATCCGTCTCCCTCCTCCTCTTCAGGTCCCCTGCCTGATACCGTTTCCAAGGTAGTCGTGCATGTGGGAATTAACGACATGAAACTTACAGCAGATCAGAAGTCACGAAGAAAACATTTTATGGATCTGTTCCACCCTGCCTTCAATCCTCCGGGCCTATCTGATTTTTATTTCTGGTCCACATCCATACTGTAAACAGAGTGACTTGCCTCTACGTCGTGTTGTGGCGGCTTGCATGTGTGGCTTCAGGCTACATGCCAGCTTCTTTAAAACTTTGTTCTTTGTGAATAACTTTGCCCTTTTCTGGAAACGTTACGAAGCCTATTCGGCCAGACGGATTACACCAAACAATACGGTACGCAGCCTGTTGATGGATTACATACGTTATGTTGTTCAGGCGTCTCCCCGAGGGCGTGACTGTTTTACATCTAGCCCCCTCGGACCCCACCGCACCCCCCGCCTCCTGCTCACCAGCACCGGTGAGTACAAAAAACGGTGCAAACACTGCTTCCTGTCTCTGGCTGTGCATTACCAAGTCCAACACTGAACTGTGCTGACCGTCTCCCTCTGACTCTGGGAGCTAAAGAACAACAAACAAGGGTTTTTCACTTATTAGGCCAATTGAGACTGGTGTTGTGTTCCTCGCACCAGCTCAAAAATGTTTTTAAATTCTAAAAAACGAAATCAAAACAGGACAGCAGTTAGAACGTCCAACTCTGCAAATCTAATTTCTTGTTCCCTGTAGAAATCCAATCACCACATTAATCTTCTCTGACGTTATTTTTAAACTTGCTTATGCTTAATGTCAGATCTCTATGTAACAAATCATTTTTAATTAATAATTTTTTATTTAATCACTTCTTATGATCTTGATTTAGCTATGGCTGAAACGGACATGGCTCGACCAAATATACAGAAATGCAGTTCTAATAGAAGCACCACCACCCAATTTTAATTCGAATCCGAAATAGACGAGAAAACAAAAGGGGGAGCATAGCTGCAGTTTTAGAGAGCACTTTGTCTCCCATAGAATGCCCCTTGGAAATTTGTCAATCGGTTTTGAGTATATTCCTTTTAAAATGGAACAAAGCAATCTTTCTACTCTTTTCATTGTCCAGTACAGGCCACCACAGTCATGTTGCGATTTTATGACCATTTACTGAACTACTTTCATCGTAAGTGCACAGATTTGATAGTTTTAGTTATTACAGGTGGATTTTAAATGTACATGTTGTAATGTTGATGACAGAAATGCAAAGGAGCAAGGCTTCTGTATTTGAGACCTTGGTTTAATTCAGCACGTGAGTGGCCCCACCCACAGCAGGGGCACACTCTTGACCTGCTAATTACAATGGGGTTAATGGTACAATGTTAATGAGTAGTGGATAGTTGCTTTGTCAGATCATTTCTGTGTATTTTTTTGATCATGTTTTATGCTAGCAAACCACAAGCTGAATTTACAACTGTTAGAAGGAAGACACATACATGAAAACACAAGTGAACTGTTCAATGGAATGCTAAATTTGAGAACTCCATGCTCTACGGTATGAATTGTATGAATCTCCTTCACCACCAGTGTTCTGACTGTTCTGACTCCTGTGCTCCTGTGAAGGTTAAAATTAGTTACCAGTAAGAAAAAGGCCCCATGGGACGAAGGAACTCGTTAGGGCACAGAAGCAAGAGTGCCGAGGGCCGAACCAGGATGTGGCGAAAGTCCAATTTCCAGGGCGATTATGAAATCTTTAAAAGATGTTGGGTGAATTTAAACCGGGTTCTACGTAGCAACTAGAGAAATTATTATTTCTGACATTATTGGAGGATGGCAGTAACAATTTTCGTGTTAATGTTTTCAACAGTTTGGTAGATTAACGAACCCCCCCTGTAAAGTTGCCCCTCAAGAAATTTCC